ATTTCTTGGATAAGACATCAAAAGTACAGGTAACAAAAGCTAAAATAAACAAGTGGGACTGCATCAGACTAAAGATCTTCTGCACAGCAAGGAAACAATGAAGTGAAAAGGCAGCCTATAGGATGGGTGAAAATATTTGCAAACTATATATATGATAAGGGATTAATATCCAAAATATACAAAGAACTCATACAATTCAATAGCAAGAAAAGCAAATAATACAATTTAAAAATGGGCATAGGACCTGAATAGACATTTTTCAAAAAAGAACATACAAAAGATACATGAAAAGATGCTTAACATCACTAATCATCAGGAAAATGCAAATCAAAACTACAATGAGATAACATCTGGTAGAATGCCTATTATCAAGAAGACAAGAGATATCAATGTTGGTGAGGATGTGGAGAAAAAGGACACTTAGACACTGTTGGTGGTAATGTATATTGGTATGGCCATTATGGAAAGCAGTATTAACTGTTCCTCAAAAAATTTAAAATTGAATTACCATATGATCCAGCAATCCCACTTCTGAGCATATATCCAAAGGAACTGAAGTCAGTATCTCAAAGAGATACTTGCACACCCACATTCATTACAGCATTATTCAAAATAGCCAAGATACGTGAACAATGTAAACAATGTAAAGTGTCCCTCAACAGATGAGTGGGTAAAGAAAATGTGGTACATATATACCACGGAATATTACTCAGCTATAAAAAAGGAAATCCTGCCACATGCAACTACATGGATCAGTCTGGAGGGCCTTATTTTGCTAAGAGAAATAAGCCAGACCGAGAAAGCAAATACTGTATTATATCACCTACGTGGAATATTAAGGGGGGAGAAAATCCAGTTTCCTACAGAGAACAGAATAGTGGTTGCCAGGGGCTGGAAGGATGGGAAAATGGAGCAGCACTGGTCAAAGGGTACAATTTTTCAGTTGTAAGGAGAATAAGTTCAGAGGGACTGATGTACAGCATGGTGACTAGTTAATGCTACAGTATTGTCTACTTGGAAGTCACTGTGAGCAAATCGTATGCATTCCCACCACAGAAAGAAAATATAAGTTAACTATGTTAACTATGTGAGCTGATGGATGTGTACATTATCTTGATCTTGGTAATCATTCTATAATGTGTACATATAGCAAATCATCATGTGTACATTTTAAGTCTAAACAAATATATTTGTTAATTATTCCCCAACAAAGTTTTTAAAAATGCTTCACATGTGGTTCCCATCAACAGCTAAGGCTTGGCACGGCTACTGCCACCTTACTATCTGAGGCTTGGGAGGACCCGAGAAGCAGAGATACATGCTGCCTGCAACAAACACCCCCTTACACTTGACCCCCGTCATGAGCAACATCCTGAACTCCCTTTTATCATAAACGTTTTGAAGTCTCCCTGTGTGACAAGGGCAAAGTTAGAACTGGAATTCGTTACTGTCCTAATAATTGCTAGGCAGACCCTGCCCAGTCCTGGTTTTTGCCTTATCTTCTGACTCTAGGCACCAGCAGAAGGCTTTTAAATGCCCATCACCAGAGCTGCGTCACGAGTCAGGGACCCTTGAGATCAACAGGAGAGTCCGCCAGCCTCGGGACAAATTCCTCTGAAATGGGAGAAGGCTGCCTTTCAGGATCACTCACCCCTTCTCGCCCCGCTGCCCTTTATGGGATGTGGGTGTCACAGTGACAGGGAGGGGGTTGTAAAACTGAAAACCACAGGGAGAGGGCTTGGCTCCCAGGGACCCCTGGGCAGGCCCTCTTTCTCCTTGCACCTGGGTGCTGCTTGTTCCCTGTTGCCCATCTGCACAATGAGGTCGAGGAAGTGTCCTATTAGAACATGAAAACGAGACAGAACAAACTGCTGTAAGGGGGTCTATCCCCACCCTGCACTGTAGGCTGCCCATCTTTGGAAGCAGAAATAGGTACAACTGGCAAGTGATAGACTTGAATTCAGAGACTCCTGGGTTCGAATCCCAAATATATGATGTGGAATTCAGAGACTCCTGGGTTCAAATCCCGTGACCCCTCTGTCCCTCAGTTTCTTCACCTCTGGTAAAACATGGAATACTTGCCCCACAGACCTACTGTGAAATAAGATGGGAAAATCGGATGAGAACATGAAGGCCAGCGCAGGGCGAGGCGAGGCGAGGCTCCTGTAAGTGCCTTCTCCACCCCTTCCTGATTGGGGCTAAATTCCCTTTCTCCTCCAACTGCCTCATTCCACCTCTGATTCCTCTCTAGAAGAATACAGTTTGGGGAGTCCATTTGGGAGAATGTCTGGATCTTACACTACGGAAGGAGAATGCAGGCCAGTGTGACGTCTGCTAGAATCAGAAAGAAAATGTGGGTTCTGATGTGCTAAATCCAGGGTCCAAAGCAAGTTCCTCAATCTCTCAGGGCTTCAACCAAAAATGAATGGATCATCTCAAGGCCCTCTTTCACGTGTCTGAATACAGGACCTGTATTTAGAGGCCTGGCCTCAGAGTCACACAATCTGGGGTCTGCCTAACGCTTCACATCAAGAGTCATGAGACGACCAACTAAAACCCAGGGACCAGCGCCTCAGGGGGCACTCCTCCATCAGAATCTCTAGATCAGGGGTGCCTGGGTGGCTCAGTCATTAAGCATCTGCCTTCGGTTCAGGTCATGATCCCAGGGTGCTGGGATCGAGCCCCGCATCGGGCTCCCTGCTCGGCGGGAAGCCTGCTTCTCCCTCTCCCACTCCCCTTTGCTTGCGTTCCCTCTCTCACTGCCTGTCAAAAAACAAAATCTTAAAAAAAAATCTCTAGATCAGTGGTTCACAAACAACGGGCGCTGAAATCACCTGGGGGCTCAGTCAAAATACATGTTCCTGGCCCTACCCCCAGAGATCCTGATTCCGTGGGTTTGGGGTGGGCTCGTAGAACCTGGCAGTGTTTGATGCCACAGTCAGGGGCCCACATCCTGACAAGCATGCTCTTAATACGAGTTTCAACTACCTGTGACCGAAGGTAGCTCCACCCCACCCCATGGGACTCTGTGTTCACCTGCTGAATACCTTCGGCCCCGTTACTTCCCTCCTCTGCACCCGTGTGCTCTTCTATAAAATGTGGCTAGTAACACCCTCTCTCAGGGACTGGTCTGTCATTTTTGAAGATGGGTTCCCTGGGCCATGAGTCTGCTAGTCTGCATATTAAGGAGTCCCTTTGCTTATCAAAAGTAAGTGCCAGAAGAGAGCGGATTTAAATGGGCAAGACTGTAGCATCTCAGCCCTCCAAATGTTCTTCCAAGGATGACCAATCCAGCTACACTTTAATCTTACAGAGTTCTGATCAGGTGAGATCAGGTGCACCTTTCACAAACACAATCTTTGCTGTATGAACATTACAAGCACGACATCTGGAGGTTGACTGAGGTTTGAATCCTAGCTCTACCCCTCAGCAGCTATGTGACCTCAGCAATAACTTTACAAAATCAGGAAGATACTACCTCATCAGATCATGGATCAGGATTAACAAGGTGATAAATGCAATGCAAGGGCATTTACTGACATTGTCAGACTGACAGCCTCTGGACCTTCCTGGAAGAAGTGTTAGCTCCAAGTGAGAAGAGGGGTAGAATCCTCACTAACTAGGCACTAACCTTACTTGTTCAAAAAATAGGTTTACTGACCTTTAACTCACAGGCTATACCACTGATCCATTTAAAGTGTACAATCCGATGGGCCTCAGTGTTCGTGCAGAGCACGCAGCCATCACAACTCGAGAGCACTTCCGTCACCCCAGAGAGAAACCCTACACTCTAGCCCTTGCCCCCCAGTCCTGACAGTGCCCCAGCCCACCCTGCGGCAACCACTAATCTACTTCCCATCGCTCTAGATTTCCCAATTCTGCACATTTCATATAAATACAATTATATGTGGTCTTTTGTAACTGGGTTCTTTCATTTGGCATGTTTTTAAGACTCATCCGTGTTGTAGCATGTATGAGTATTTTGTTCCTTTCCGAGCCTGAATGATATTCCATTTTATGGAAAAATCTCATTTTATGTATCCATTCATCCACAGATGAACCTTTGGATTGGGGCTGTTATGAACAACTGCTATACAAACTGCTATGAACATTCATGTTCAAGTTTTTGTGTGGACATGTTCTCAAGTCTCGGGTACGTACCTAGGAGGCTAATTGCTGGGTCATAAACTCTGGGCTAAACCTTTGGAGGAACTGCCAGACTGTTGTTCCAAGCAGCTGCACCGTTGGACTTCCCCCTCAGCAGCGTTAAGAGCATTCCAATTTCTCCACATCCTCAACCCTTTATCTTTTTGATTACAGCTGTCCTCATGGGGGTGCAGTGGTAACCTTGCATTTTTATTAAATTCTACTATATTTTTGTGAGTTTTTAAAAATTTACTCGCAGCCTAACATTAAAACTGTGGAACAATTTAGCTATAGAATAGAAGGGAATAAGACAAGGAAATATCCCCTCAAGGAAAGGCTACAACAGAAGGATAAAGACAGAAAGATGCCCTCCGAAAGGTGAAACAGAACAGCACCAGAGAGAGCACACGGCATTGCTCTGTACGCTGGCAGGGTTATAGAAAAATGCTTCAGGCCTACTTCTTCCCTCTTACTGTTCCGCTCCCTTTAATTCACAAATGACTTTCTGGATCTGTTTTTTGTTTTTTGTTTTGTTTTAAAAAAAAAAAAAAAAAGCCCTTTTCCAAGTGAACCAACATGGTTGCATGCCTGAAAAAGCTCTGTACTCAAATGTCAGCTGACAAACTGATTTGGGTTTCAGGATACTTTACTCCTCTGGACAAACCTACTGCCCAATATTAATCTATCACACGGAACGTGGTGGCTGTCTGACAACTGAGAAGCTAAAATAAATTCCCTATCTCTAGACTTTGATGGCTCCTCTCTAGGTGCTCTGGTGAAAGCCACTTTCATAGAATTAACAGCTCTGACTTCCCGGGTCATTACCAGTCTCCACGTTCAGACTTGAGGCAGGCTTCAAATAGCCCTTAACTCCTTGGTGTCTGTCCCCTCAGGCCAAGTCAGCCCTCGCTGCGGGAGGCTTACCACCCTCAAACTCTGTAACCAGATAGCAGCAAGGGGCAGGTGTGTGAGGAACCTCAGCCATGCCCAAGGCACTAGTGAGGAGAAAACAGAAAAGGAGGAAGATGGAAATGGTGCTGGGGGAGGAGGGCGTGGGACACTGAAGAAGGGGGAAAACGGTGCTGCTGGGGAAAGATCAGCACAGGCTGCCCCTCCTGTTTTGGCAGAGATGGTTTTGCTGGCCCTCGTGATGATTTTGCAAGGATAAGCCAAAGGAGGCCGCGCTGTCACTGTCAACAGTGGGTTACCCTGTGGGCCAGACTGCCTTACGAGAGCCACAGATTTCTCGCAAGCAGCGTCTACAAATGGAAGTCTCTCTCTGATGTTTTTTCAAATACACATAGATCCGGTGTGGGTGAGGAAACACCTTTCGTTCGTAAATGTGTAATGACTTATTATCTATTTTTTTTCTAAGCACTGGACAACTAAAGCACAACTATTACCACACAAGTCTGTGAAGTTTTTCATGTTAAGAGGGGGGCTTTATTTCCGGAAGGTATAAGGCACCTTCAAGTAGGAGCCATGTACTATGTATTTTATATATATGTATTAGGATAATTAGGTCCTAAATGCCCACAAGTGGGGACAGAAAAAATACGTATGGTAGAGCACAGGGGTCAGCAAACCATGGCCCATGACCTGTCTTGTAAATAGTCTTACTGGAACACAGCCATGCAACCTGTTTGCATACTGTCTATATGTTGTACCATACAGCTGGGACAAAGACCATATGGCTCAGAAAGCGTAATTACTACCTGACCCTTGAAAGTTTGCAGACCCCTGGTATAGCATATCCTGAAACACACTGCAACTATTTAAAAATAAAGTCAACGTCAACCATACGTATGAACAGGGAAGATGTCCAGATCCTCTGACTGCCTACTGAAGTGAGCGGGCCCCATTTGTTTGTTTGGGTTGTATTCCACAAGGGCAGGAATTCCAGCACCGGGGAAGAATGCAAACCTGGGAGGGAACACCGGACTCTGGGCACCAATGTCGGACTGGGGTAGCCCCTGCACTGTGTGTGGCCAGTCCGGCTCCAGTCCAGCCTGGTGGTCCACCCAAGACTCCTCCCCCTGCAAGATTCATCCAGGGATCCCCTGACGCCAAGGACTAGTGAGGGCTGAGGAGGAAACATCCCTTCTTCCCAGCCGGTTCTGAAAACAATGAAGAGGAAAAGAGTAAGGATGGAAGTTCACATATAACCATGGCATTGGGGCATTTTACTTACGCTGAACCCCAGAATCTAGCAGACATCCCCACTGAGGATCAGCTGTGCCAGGCTCCTTGACTGAAATGGAGGCAACATCCCCATGAACCCCATCCCCACGTTAAGACAGCACGGTACGTCCTGGACACAAACACACCCAAGCTGTGGGGCCTGGTCCCTCTGAGGGCAGGGAGAGCGGGAATTTTCACTCTAACACACACTAGGCGTAGCATCTTAGGCAATTTCTTCCTCTTTTAATTTATAACACAGGAGAACTATGAGGCTTAAATAAAACACTGCACACCAAGGTCTCAGCACAGTGCCTCACATCCAGCAATGCTAATATTTAATAAATGTTATTTGTTTTATGGTTCAATCATAGTCCAGTTTTTATAATAGGTACATATTTGCTTCTGTGATATAGAACACCTGCTGACTTCCTCGCAGTGGTCCTGAATGTTCACTGACAGGCATGAGAACGCTATGAAAAGTGTAAATCCTGAGCCAAGATCTAAAAAGTACTAATTAGTACACACTATATATAAAAAACCATTCTTAGAGGGAAGTCGATAGCCTAAAATATTTTTATAAAAAAAAAAAAAGGTAAAGACTCTTAATTCAAAATGGCCAACTGAGCCCAAAAATTCATCTCCCATTCCTCCCAAACCCCATTAAAATGACAGAAAAGCAGCAGAATAAAAGAGTTAAACACCCACCAGAAAGAGAATGGATAAGGGACATGTCTGCTAAGAGATTCAAACACATTCTGGAAAACTGCAGAGGGCGGTCTGCTAAGGCAGGCCCCACTCTCTCCTGTACTTAATGACTGAACTTTCGTTCCATAAAAATCACAGGCTGACAGCGCCCCGACTGCCCCTCCTACTCCCGATTCCCTGGTCCCTAGGAAGTGAGGCCAAGAAGGGGAGAAGCAGCATCACCTGGGGCCTCTGCCCAACATGTGTCTCAGCACCTCGGCCCTTCCGCTGGGTGGGGGCTCAGGGCTGATGCACAGGGCGTCCACCCCCATTCCTGCCCAACAATCTCCTTTCCAGATTGGAAATCAGAACCAAAAAGTGTGACGTGGTCTGCTCCAGCTCAGTGCAGCTGCAGGTGAAGCCCAGCTGAGACCCAGGCCAGCCCCACACTCCCCCGTACTCCCCACCCAAAGCCACCCACCGCCAGCTAAACCCGATGGTATCGGAACATAATAAACATACGACTTCTTGCCCTTTTACAGGTGCTAAGTCAGAGGGGAAGTAGGACACCGAGCCAAAGGCCACACACGGAGCCCCTCACAGCCCCCTCTCTCCTTACCGTGCAGTGCCTTCCTCCTACTTCTTCCTGCAGGACTGTGGTCTGTTTTGAGAACATCAGAGGCACTGTGAGGATGGCACATCCATCTTCACTTACAGCTCCGGAATCCACAGAGCCCGCCCTGTCCGCCACAGATACCCTTCAATGTCTGAGAGCAAACACCACTCCATCCCACAATCAAAGAAAGCAAAAGGAGTAGGATTCAGTATACAATTGTTTAATAGAAACCATTTGGTGACTGTAAATGATTCTGTACAAAATCAACCTTCATTTAAAACTGTTTAAGTCACGCCCACCATAGGAGGCGACCGAATGCATTTAGTTACCTAAAAGGTGTTTGCAAACGGTTTAGAATCTCAGCAGAGGCCTGCAGAATCTTTAGCTCTTCTGTCCACAGTGTTTCTACCAAAGTTAGTTGGTTTATCAAAGCCACTTCTTCATCTTTCATATGAGAAATCTGGAAGATATTTTAAAGTTAATTTTTTTTACTGCAGTAAAATACATATAACATAAAATTTACCACTGTGACCACTTTTCCGTGTACAGTTAGATGGCATTAAATACGCTCACAGTGTTATGTAACCGTCACCACTATGCGTCCCCAGGATTCCTTCATGGTCTCTAACAGAAACTCTGCACCCATTACACAAACTACCCATTCCCCCAACCCCCAGCCCCTGGTAACCTCTACTCTACTTTCTGTCTCTATGAGTTTGCCTATGCTGGACAATGGAATCACACAATATTTGTCTTTTTGTATTCTGGTTTATTTCACTTAGCATAATGTCTTGAAGGCTCATTAAAATTATTTTTCAATCCCAATAATGTTTTCATTAAAATGAGCTGATTTCTCAGGGCACCTGGGTGGCTCAGTTGGTTAAACATCTGCCTGCCTTCGGCTCAGGTCATGATCCCTGGGGCCCCACATTGTGTTGGGCTCCCTGCTCAGCAGGGAGTCTGCTTCTCCCTCTACCCCTCCCCCTGCTCACTGTCTCTCTCTCTCTCTCTATCTCAAATAAATAAATCTTTTTTTAAAAAATGAGCTGATTTCCCATTTAATTAAAACATTTACTAAATAGAAATATTTAAAAAAGAGTACTCGAAAATTCATCCAATAATTTTACCTACTGAAGATACAAGCACAACGTTAACAAAAACCCAGAAATTACATCAACATTCATCTATTTAAGGCATCAAACAATGCCCTAATAAGGTGTAACATGTACAAACAAGTAACTTCTTCATCAAAATACTTTAACAAAAGAATGCAATATTCTAGAAACATACCTTTAGCAGCATAGCATTGGTCTCCTCTATGAAATACTGGCATATTTTCTGGGCTATGACCAAACTTCTCTTCTCATTTGTATCTGAAATGATTTCCCCAAGAAGTATTTTTTTCCAGCATGTACTAGAACCAAATTGTTCAGTAAGATCATGTCAGCAGGCTCTCAAAAAAGTAAAGGCGACTTTTTACACTTCAACACAACAAACTCTTCTATTTTTCCAGAAGCATAATAAACTCACTCCATTAGCAGATTCCCTAAAACCTTCCCACCACATGCAGCTCCCGCACTGAAGGAGACAAGGTACAGGAGGAGGAGGAACAACTGAGAATAAGAATCAAGGGGACTGACACTCTTTGCAGGGAGGGACTGAATGTGATTATCATTGCAATCCTGTGTCTGACACATAAGTAAGTGGAGTCATGTCCACCAGTCATGGGAACAGAGCAGAAGACAGGACAGTGACTCCCAGCCAAAAGGACTCAGGGCTAAGGAGCAAAGACAGTAAACTTTCCTTCTCTTCAAGTGACACTCTTTCCTAAACTATGGCAAACAACAGAACACGTTTCACAAGGTAAAATGCTCTGGAGACAGAAGGAGGAATCTACAGTGAAGCCCTTCTCTGCAGGTCATTCCCATTTTACACTATGAAAATATGCAGGAAATGGGGCTCAGGGGGCAAGTGGAGCCAACTTTCTGCAGGCAGAGGAGCAGAAACATTTCAGGGTAAGCAAGGGGGAGCCACAGCAAGGCGCTGAGCCAGAAGGCGGCAGAGCCAAATCCACACACTCACAAGAAGCACTAAGCAGAGAAGAAGAAGATGGAGGAATAGATTCTGGATGCCGAGAATCCAAAGTGCAATGGCTTAGGAAGGGAAAGGTAAGGTGACAACTACCACATCAGAGTGGAAGTATACAGAAGTCACTCAGAAATTCAGAACAGCTGACAAGCCACACATGGAATAAAGTCTTAAAAGTCTTCAGCTTTAGAGACAACAATGGAAACCTCAGGAATGGCTAAGTTCTCAGGAAAGAAAAGAAGGAAGGAAGGAAATCACTATATGCCAGGCATAGTGTTTCATGGAAAACAATTACCTAATTTAATCTTCACAATTATCTAGCAAAGAAAGCATTTAGTATTCCCATGTTAACCACAAACAGAATCGGGAACGGTACAGAACTCACCCTAGGTGACAAAGCTAAGGAGAGGTACAAACAGCATGCAAACAACATCCGGCAGAATCACCACCACGGGCCTGTTCTACCACACCGTGGCAGACCGTTAGGAGTAACTCAAAGGCAGGAAAAGGGGCCTCGGGGTGACTTCTCATACCTTTTTCCACAAAGGACTTAAAGACACTTACGTGGGCACACGTGAGATGAAATAAACAGTAAGATGAACGGACAGTGAAAACAAGACAAAGGAAAGGTGAAAGGAGGAAGGGTAAGATACAACCAGGATAAATTGCATGCCTTAAAATCCTGCATATTTGGATGGGCCACAAATTTGCCACTGAGTTTTCTAGCAAACAATAAAGAGAAGGAAATGTATCAGATACAGAATCCACAGTGGCTATAAGATAAAAACACACCATCTGCTGAGAATAAACAGGACTATTTCTGGTGTTGAGATGAGGGAGAAATTTTTTTCCCTGAGTCCCTACAGAAAAAGAGGTCAGCAATATCCCAACAGGAGTTACTGAATGAGCACCAACTACTTTGAGGCACCGTGCAAGGGCTATCTGTATGCATGAACTCCTTTAGTCCTCCCAACCGCTCGAGGATGGGGTCACCATCTTCAGCAAGTCCTCTCTTCATAAGGTTTCTCTCATCTGAGCCTGTCTTAAGCAGTGGACCCTGGCTGAAGGAGGTCCCTGCACCGGGCAGCGGACAGTCCTTTCCATGCTAGGGGAGGGACCGGCAGCCTCGAGGTAACATTAAGGAGCCTAACCAAGACGCATGTCTCCACCAGGGGTTCCCCTCTACCTGCCTCCCCATGGATATTTCCAAATATCCAGGCCTCTCCTTTAGCAGGGGGCTGGATCTGCACTCCGGGGCACCACAGAATCTCTGCTTGAGATTCTCTCTCTCCCTCTCCTTCTGTCCTTCCCCTACTCGCAGGGGCGCACGAGCTCGCTCTCTCTAATAAATAAATAAAATCTTTAAAAAAAAAAAAAAAAAAACAATTTACTCTACCAGCTGCAGGTCACCAGGGAAAAAATACCTGAGAATAAAAAATTCTCAGGGCCATGTACTCTGATTATGACTCTAAGACCAGAATTCCAGAAATGATGAAAACTTAAAAGTGCAATGCTCAGGGCATGGTCAAGTTCCATAAAGAATAAGCCTCCCGGTGTACAATGGCATTCCTTTCTCCTCCCAGGCTGGGTATTTGAATGTAAACCAACAGAAGCTCCAAGGTTATATCCAGGTTGTAACTACAGCTCATGACCAACACACACGAAACTTACAATTCTTCGGCTTCCAGACATAACAACTTAAGAGCTGTGAGTAACCTCCAAGATGGTCCATCCCATCCAAATGTCAAATTTCTAAAGCATAAAAACAAATAACACACCTGTCATTTCAGTACTTCATGACACCATGGCAAATGACTGAAGAGCTAAACATTTTCTGAAGGGGCTAAACATTATGTAACTTGTGTCTTGGTCACAAAGGCAAAAGAGCAAAGTAAAAAAGAGAAAAGAAAAGCAAAAACTTTTTTTTTTTAAAGATTTTATTTATTTATTCATTAGAGACAGAGAGAGGCAGAGGGAGAAGCAGGCTCCCAAGGAGCAGGGAGCCCGATGCGGGACTCGATCCCAGGACCTTATCCCAGGACCCTGAGATCATGACCTGAGCCGAAGGCAGACGCCTAGCCATCTGAGCCACCCAGGCGCCCGAAGAAAAGCAAATACTTAAAAATAAAGTCAGAGTAAAAAAAAAAAAAATTCTGTTTAAAAAAAAAAAAAATGTAAAAGGGGCACCCGGGTGTCTCAGTCGGTTAAGCGTCTGCCTTCGGCTCAGGTCATGATCCCAGGGTCCTGGGATCAAGTCCCGAGACGGGCTCCCTGATCAGCAGGGAATCTGCTTCTCCCTCTCCCCTGCTCGTGCTCTCTCTCTCTCGCTCAAATAAATAAGTCTTTTATTTTAAAAAGGGGGTAAAAAACTACTTCCCATTTAATTTCGGTAAGGAGCTGAATCTGGTTGAGGAAGCCAGAGGAAGAGGGCCGGTGCCACAGGTCCTAGTGCGATGAAAGATGAAGAAGCAGAGTTCCCCTGGGCACCAAACAAAGGCTAGCCACCACAGCCAGACTGCCTCACACTGCTGCTGGACCACGTAAAACTTGATTTTATTTACAGAAGAAATTCTGAAAGAGAGAGCTTCCACTTGGCGTGGAATCACCTCGCCACCACCCCAGCCCTGCGCCCTAAGCACGTGCACCCTGTTGCTGGTAACTGAGGACCAGCCTGGCCTACAGGAGCCCAGTGCATCCCACTGACCATGTGCTGGAGCCAAACACTGGGCTACCACTCAGTATAAATAGGGCTTTCTTTTAGTACAATGATACTTCAAGTTTGTATCTTATGTCCCCAAGTAAGTTTCTTGAAAAGCATCTTACACTCCTTGCGTGCCCCACATCAAGCACAATTTACTACACATAGTAAATGCTCAATAAATACCTACCTGTCAACAAGTCAGGAGGTAGCTCGTACCTACAGAAACACTACCTCAATTTCCTCATCAAAGTTTCCTGAAGGAATAATTTTAAGAGACAGAGAAATCACTTACTCTATAAAATCATGATCCTTCAAAATGGAAATCTTCTTGTTCATCTGTTTATCTGTTGATGGAAGGTATTTAACAAGTATATCTACAAAAAAAAGAAAAAGAAAGAAATTTAGGGTGTCATCACACAAAAGTGTGAACCCTCTAAAATTACCGTCCCTTCCACCAACAATCAAGACATGTGTAAACAGTTTTATCTAATTCACACCAAAAAGCTCCAGTGAGTCCAATTCAATGAGATCTTTAGTTAGCCCCTGAAAAGCTACAGAATTCCAGGGCAGGGGAGAAAACATCCACAACCTCAACACACAAAACCTGGTAATTAAGACAGTGGCAGTATGCGGGAAGTTACACCCACCAAAAGTATAGGAGCTGTACAAACATGAGGAATTGTTTCTAACAGTAAGTTTTCAAAAGCCAGAATTCAAAACTGGGTATTAGTGATTACAATCATAAGCAATTCAAAGTGAACATGTAAAAATTAACAAAGCTTTTTGGGGTAGCAGAGTAATGACTGATTTTTCTACTTTTAAAATTTCTTTTTTATATTTCTACGTTTTGGTTTTTTAAGTGTAAAAATAACTAAAATGTAGATTTTGTTCAAACTGCTTGCAAATCAGTATTTCATGGTCATCAATATTATTCTGATAACAGGAGGCTAATCTCAAAGCTAGTTTTCTAAGAGACCTGGTAAGGCCCAGTTTTTGTTTTTTAATTTCTATTTTGAGAAATAACATTATTATTCTGCCCATAGGATGGAGTAGTTTCACCTTGAACAAGTTTCTATTTCCACTACAATTTATATTAAAACTACCCCAAATTATATACTCGGTAAATCTCTGGCCATATTTCTTCATGGCCTACAAAACTAGTTCTCTGCTGCTTCAGGAGAAAGGGGAAAGAAACATTTTTCTATGCACCGTTATTAATATTTGGAATTTCCACAGCATAAATTTAATAGCTAAATTGTTTTTTTAAAATAGTAATACCGATGATGGCTAATTAGTAGGCCACAGAAAAACATAAATGAAATCAGTATTTCATCATGGTATTAAACCCCCAAAACAAGGACTATTTAATAGATTTATCCCTGTCACTAGTACAGCGCCTCACACAGTAGGTGCTTAAATTAACATTTTTAATTTTTTCTTCTCTAATCTATCCTGTTTAGTGACAGTGACAATGTCTCAGTTCAAAAATTTCCATTTCTTCCCATCTTTTTAATATTATATTCTTTCCCTTAGTGGGTCTTCCTTTTTTCTGTCTGACCTAATGCAACAAAACTTTTCTCACTTCTTCCTTTCCTCAGTACTGACCGGAGCCTTGTTTCTCACTTCAACACTCAAAGTACATGGTCAGTGAGTGTCTTCCCCTATCTAGGGGAAAATAAATGATACACATTTTAAGGTTTTGCCATTTTTTAAAACTTAAAAAAACCACATCCCCAGATGGGGATAACAAAAAGAACTGTATCTTCTTAGTAAGAACAAAGTTGGTTCCAACCTTCTGAGACATGAACACAAGCGTGAGGATTCTGGACGGAAATGAATCCGTATTCCAGGAGCAGCCGCTGGTTATCATGAGGGCCATAGCAGATGAACACCTGTTCATGTTTCCTGCAGCCTGAAGCCGTTCTAATTTCGTAACAGTGAGTTTCCTCATTAAATGCTGCTTTTACCTAGGAAGGAAAATTGTTACAGTTTTTTTTTAAAGCCAAGCATAAAACTGAAAATACTAAGTTTACTGTATTACAGTCAGATGCAGCTTTCAAACACCCATCACAATGTGAATTTAACCACATGTGGGAAAATGCCAGCCCTGCACTTGGGGCTCTTGTGTGCCTCCACGTCCCCGCTCAGTGAGGGAGGGGGTCCTGCCCAAGGGCTCTCAGGATGGCCAAACGCAGGACTCCTGAAAATGGACAGGTATGCCGGAGAGCAGTTCACTAGTCACATATACAGCCTAGAGGGAAAGGACACCCCAGGCATGCAGGGGCTGCTAACAGGAGGCTAATCTCAAAGCGAGCTGTGTGACCAGCAGGGGCCACGGGAAGCAGGCTTAGGAGTAACAGGAAGTGACCCCCTGGCGCCCGCAGGGAGATGTGAGTGCTCATGTGAAGAGGCAGGCAGGGAGGGGAAACCGTCAGGCTGAGGGCCAGGCAGGGTGCGGCTAGTCCAGCTGATGGGGCCTTTCCCTCTGGGTGGGGGGCATATCCAGGGAGAGCAGAGGAACTCACAGTCAGGCCCCTGGGGTCCTGTGATGCCCAAAGATGTCAAAGGAGCACATGAATTTCAGGTCTCACAATACACAGCCTTTGAGCAGCAGGATATTGGCTGACACAATCATATGGATTTTGTGACAATTCTGTTAACAGGTAACAGAGGAAAGGACCAAGATGACCCACCTGCCCTCCACACTAAGGCGTGGGTACAAGGTCTGAGGCCACCACACTACACAGTAAACCCCAATGAGGACAAGGATAAGGAACGGGGCTGAAATCCCCAGCTTGCAGCATCAACAGATTAGGGCCATGGTCTTGAGTTAAAGGCCAAAAGCCAGCTGTAATACGCTTTAGACCAAGGGTCAGCAATCTTTTTCCATAAAGGGCCGGTGAGCAAGTATTTTAGGCTCTGCCAGAGCCCTGGGCCACATGCCTACAGGCTGTAGTTTGTGGGGCCCCTACGATCACCGTCAAATCACTGGCTTGGAGCACAACTGCACTAACAGCCCAATAAAGACAAAGCCACCAAAGGGAGGACTGGCTCGGTCCCTGTGCCCAGCACCCTATCTCAGGCACGCTCCCAACATTACTTCATCACCATCAGTCACACAAATGGCCATCTAACCTCCATCTCCTTTGCTGAATACCATCAGAAATGCATCTTTCTACAACAGTACAAGCAGACAGGCAAGGAGACTGCCTCCGCCTGAGAAAAGCACAGTATGGGTCTCCCTACGCTCGCCTCACACCAGCACGGGGGCTAGCCAGGTGCCGCCAATCTTCTCCAGGTGGGGTGCAGTATGAAGAGAACCACACGAGCAAGGGCCCAGCCAGTGCACCTGTAATTGGACCCTGAACGGGTTACAGGTGAGCCAACATAGGGACACCTTTGCCCTCAAAGCCAGGCACCTACCCTACCATGCCTACACATATAATCGTCTCCTTTATGTGCCAAAGGGGAAAAGGGCTGGAGATGAGATCTAGGACTATCTCCCAAAGAGGGACTCTTTAATATTTCCTAGACTCCTTCTCCCTACAAATATTCACCCAGTCCGTAAGGGTTTACCAAGTGCCTACTACATGCCTGGCCCTGCACTGGGTTACAGGGAGAAATAACGCACAGTCCCCATCCTTACACAGCTCAGAGAGGGAGAGAGCAAGTCAACTGGGGATCACAGCAAAGATAAACGCTGACAGCGACAGCACCAGGTGTCAAAGGGAATGGGACAGGGAAGCAATCTGGACTTCATTCCCCATACTGGAGGAGGAAAGAGGACTCTGCACCAAAGCTGGGGGATGGAGGGAGTGCTGCTGGTCAAGGCCATTCAGGGGACATAGCACTGAGCTCTACTGGCCTGGAGAGCAGAGCGGGAAAACACGGGGAGGGGATGCCAGAAAGGAAAGGGGGGCTGGGCGAAAAGACAGGAAAATACCTGGTGGCAGGTAGGTTTACCTGAAGCCAGCAACACCTCACTCTATAGTTTCAAAGTCAGGTTCTACATGTCAGAGTCCTTCCTATCAAAACAGAACATGTGTACCCTTGTTGACTTCTCACCTGGACATGTGGGCTATGATTGAGCAGATCCAGGTACGGGGCGAGCGCGCAGGTGTTCGGCTCTGCGGACAAGCATTGCCTCTGCCTGTGCTCCACGTACACAGCCCTGGTGTTGACCGTGCACCAAGCCCACAGGAGGGCACTGTAGCTAAAGATGCTCTCAACAGCCTCAGAAAACAGAGGCTGCAGGGAAGAGACAAAGTCTCTGGAGGAAGAAAAGAACTCCTGCACGCGGGCTCTCTGCTCTTCAGCCTTTGCCTTCAAAGGTTTGGGCAACAGGTTCACCACTTCTGGTTCCAAACATACAGGGCAGGTGTAGGCCTTCGGTAAAATCTCCAGGTAAGGCTTCCAGAGAGACTGGTCCCCAGCATGCTTTTCTGAAACTAAAAAGGTGCACAGAGCCAGCAGAGGAGATGGAGGAGGCTGCCACCTTTTAAAAAATACAAGCCGGATTAAAAGAATTACTTTTATTTAAAATATGGAATAAGCCAGAGATACAGATCTCCTAGTGGTTTGTTCTGCTCCCAGAGGGGCTGTGGCCAAACTGTCCTTGCACTCCCGCGTTTACTCCGTGCACCCAAGAGAGGGTTTTGCTTCCTCAAGACTTTCCTCTCCAGAGCGCATCCCGATGTAAATGCCCTAAACAAGTCACACTAAAGAGTGACAAGGACTGTCTCACTAACCCAAGTACCACCTTTGCTTGCAAGAGAGTCCTTTTTATAAACAATCTCTTTGCTTCCAACTTGGTTCTCCAGTTTTAAAGCTTCTGCTCCAAGTTTACTTATTTCACTTGGATAAGGGTATCAAACTTGGTGGGGGGAAAAAACTGGCGGAAAGAACCTAAACCTGCCCCACCCAATACAGTAACCACTGGGTACACGTAGTTATTTCAGTTTTAGTTATTCAAAATTAAATAATATTTAAAATTCAATTCCTCAGTCATGTAGGCCACATTTCAAGCGTTCAATAGGCATACGTAGCTAACAGCTACCATACTGGATAAAGCAGAGTGAAACATTTCTATTCCTGCAAAAAGTTCTACTGTATGACTCTAACCTAGACAGAAAACTGAATCAGCTTATTATATATTTGATACAGTTCTAAAGTTTTAGTTCCTAAATTTACCCACTCTATTACAAACTATACACTGCAGTATCTAATGTTGCATGAATGTATTTAGAAAAGTTTTCATTAATCCCTCAAAGTCCAGATTCCTATATTACCAAATATCCTACTCAAAATTTCAGAATGATACAGAAAATGTTAATACAAAGAACATCCCTGCTTCTACTCAGATACATTTGCCCTCATAAAAACATGCCAAGGAGGTTAAAAGTCCAGAACTTAGACCCTGAGTTAAGAAACAATACAATCTTACAACCCTCATAATTTAGAAACCCCTTCTGCTAAGGATCCCACTCACTCTGTCCTCAGAAAGTCCCCCAGAACAAAGGCCCACTATAACAAAAGCCAGAAAATAGTTCTCTCCTATTTTGGCCTCCTCTCTTCTATGCTAAACAAAACTACATAATGTCATAATGTCAACAGCTCTTCGTAGTTGAAGGAGAATTCAAGTAAATACAGTAAGGGTGAAAATAAGGGTAACATCTGTGGAGACCTACTATGATGGAGAACAGGCTAGGAGGAGTCAACGCACTCAGAATGATTGACATCTATTCTCCCACTTTATCTTCATTTTCTAGTAAGTGATAGATCAGGATTCAAACCCACATCCCAGGCAGCCTATTAAAACCCTTAAAAATGCAGCTTAAAATGAATTAAGAACAAACTCAAGCACAGAGTAAACCTTCTGAATCATTTCAAATATGTATGAGGTATACAAAGGGGCTGGTCCTAACGAACTCTGCCTTAGAGGACATTATCTGCCAATGCTGTAGACTTTATAAGACAAGCGCTTGCACCAGACGAGCATGTACACGTTCACTTACTTAGCAATGTACGCCCCTAAGTAGCTTCTAATCACTGTGTCCGTGGTGAGCAGGCAACTCTCAGGCAACGAAATAATCATCTGTCCCTCCTTACCAAAAAGAAAGTGAAGTTTAGAACACCCATGTTTTGAGAAGGACCGTGTACTTGAGTCCACAATCGTCCACTAAGAACCCAGGATAACCCAACCACAGACACCAAAGAGCCCACCAACAGTGTGGCTCCCAAGCCCCTGAGTTGGCGGTTGCGGGCAAGTCTGCTCCAAGAACAAGTACTACAAGCCCAACAAGAATTAAAGGCTAATTATGTGACTAACATCCACTAGCAGTCAACCCTTCATCAGAAAAGAATGTGGAAACACTCTTGACAAATCATATCACTCCTTCACTTTCTTACACCAGGAAATAGTGCTATGGGAAGCAGGCAGAAACCACTCAAAACAACTCTTATCTGGTGAAATCCATGTGTCCAGCGACTATTCCCAGCAAAGGCCTACTCTCCATATAACCTGTGCCAACTAGACTAAGAAAAGGGCAGCCCAGCCAGCACATGGGTCTCATTTTACAGAAGTATAGTTTTCAGTTCCTCCCACTGAGATAGAAACATAGAAGAAAAATTAAGATGTCAAGTCACAGACACCAGAAACAAATAAAGCATTAAGAAGCCTGATGTTAATTAAGATCTTGGATTTCATTATAACTGGCATCTAAGTTGGTTAAAAATCTCAGCCAAATATCTGGGTTCAATTTCTGGTTTCCTCATCTGTAAATCAAGATCAAGTTGGACAATCACTATAGTCCCTTCCTGCTCCAACAACCCGCAATTTTCTGATTTTAAAAAAGCCACTTAATAAAATGTTCTGTATCCTGACTAGAGTAAATCTCTTCATCTTCAACACTTACCAAACTGGATGCTTAAAATCTGTGCATTTCACTATGCGTAAAATATGTCCCAATTTTCAAAAAGCTTAACCAAAGGTCATATTTGAAAGCAGATGTGAAGCAACTGCCAATTATCATTTCATAATCTAAACAAAGACTACCTACATTTACTGCCATACACATGAGAAGTATATTTCCCCTCCCAAAATAGTCAGAACACAATTACATATTCCCTCAAAAAATAAAAATATTGTACAATGTGACTTGTACTTAATATTTTTGAACTGTACACTTAAAAATGGCTGAGATGATAAATTTTGTCATACATATTTTACAATTAAGAAGTTTTAAATAAAAAAATAAAAGTGGCATAAGAGAATTACAACATTAAAAAGTACCATTCTTTAGGCTAAATGTGTATTTACATAGATGGATTTTAAAATTAAGGAACTAGGGGCGCCTGGGTGGCTCAGTTGGTTAAGCGACTGCCTTCAGCTCAGGTCATGATCCTGGAGTCCCGGGATCGAGTCCCGCATCGGGCTCCCTGCTCGGCAGGGAGTCTGCTTCTCCCTCTGACCCTCCTCCCTCTCATGCTCTCTGTCTCTCATTCTCTCTCTCTCTCAAATAAATAAATAAAATCTTTTAAAAAAATAAAAAATAAAAATAAATAAAATAAAATAAAATTAAGGAACTAAAAATAAGGAATTTCTTTTTTTTTTTTTTTAAAGATTTTATTTATTTATTTGACAGAGAGAGCCACACAGCAAGAGAGGGAATACAAGCAGGGGGAATGGGAGGGGAGAAGCAGGATTCCCGCGGAGCAGTGAGCCCGATGCGGGGCTCGATCCCAGGACCCTGGGACCATGACCTGAGCCGAAGGCAGACGCTTAACGACTGAGCCACCCAGGCGCCCCAAGGAATTAATTTCTAGCTTCACAGAAAATTGTGCATTAGATATCCTTTAAATAGCATAGAAAGAACTAAAATGGACCTTGGAGATCATCTATGTCATGTACCTCCTCGTTTTCCAGGTGAGAAAACAAGCCGGGGGGTCCCACCACCAGCTGAAGGCAATCCTGGGACAGGCTCCGAAGCTCTGCCCGCTGCCTGCCCAGGCTTAGGCTCACTCAGGCTTATACTTAGCGTACCCAGCATACGCTCTCAGATGAGAACCGCTCCCTCCCCTGGCACATTTAAAATATGGTCTGCTTTATACAATTTGCTGTGGCAGAGATGGCTAGCTGCCAAACCAACATGCCTTCTCTCCTCCTGCCGTTAATGCAATCCTACCGGGAGGTCACTGTGCCAGGAAAGGACACGTCTCACCTCCCTCACAGCCAGCTGGGGCTGTGTACCTCGTCCATGGCAGATGTGACAGGCCTGGAATTTTCTTAAAAGAAGGAGACCTGCCCTTCCTCACCCCCTTGTTCCATCTTGCTGCTCAAGCTCCAGGAGCTATTCCCTGGACCTGAGGGTGTGGGGCTTCCTCTAGGATGTGGACAGAGAGCTGGGAGGAGTCTGGGCCTCAAACGGCCATGGGATCACCACACCAGCCCAGGTCTGCCCAGCCAGGCTTGTTTACTTGAGAGCAAAATAAACTTCTGCTGTTACTTTGGGTCTGTCTCCTCTATGCAGCAAACTTAAAGCTAACTGACACAATTGTATTCAAACCTATCATTAGGTAAAAAATGGCTGTGTATCTGAAATATTTTTAATTCACTTGATTTGAACCACAAAAGCAAAACAGCAAAATCTGCATTAGGTTTCAAGGATAAGAGAAATTCTCACCTGCAGGGATGTTTTGCTCATCAGCCCTCTTCCTGTACCTAAGACACAAAGAAGAAAAAAAGGGTAAATCCTACAATATCCAAAAAAAGAAAAAACAAAAAAACCTATGGTATCTTCAAGATCTTAAGGATATCATTTTGAAAAAAAGATGCAATTTGAACTGGGGCGCCTGCGTAGCTCAGTCAGTTAAGCATCCGACTCTTGGTCTCAGCTCAGGTCATGATTTCATGGGTCGTGGGATTGAGTCCCACGTCAGGCTCTGTGCTCAGCGGGGAGTCTGCTTGAAGATCCTCTCCCTCTGCACTCCCCCCACCCCTGGCCTGCTGGTGCTCTCTCTCTTTTTTTTTTTTTTTTTAGATTTTATTTGACAGAGAGACAGCCAGAGAGGGAACACAAGCAGGCGGAGTGGGAGAGAGAGAAGCAGGCTTCCCACAGAGCAGGGAGCCCGATGCGGGGCTTGATCCCAGGACCCTGGGAACATGACCTGAGCCAAAGGCAGATGCTCAACAACTGAGCCACCCAGGTGCCCACAAATAAATCTTTTTTTTTTTTAAAGATTTTATTTATTTATTCATGAGAGAGAGAGAGAGAGGCAGAGGCAGAGGGAGAAGCAGGCTCCCCGCGGAGCAGGGAGCCCGATGCGGGACTCAATCCCAGGACCCTGGGATCGTGACCTGAGCTGAAGGCAGACGCTTAACCGACTGAGCCACCCAGGCATCCCACAAATAAATCTTTTTAAAAAATGCAATTGAACCTCAAAATTACACAAAGCTGAAGCCGGGTATCTCTCTCATTCTTTGACTCTCAGGGGAAAGAGAGGATCAAGAAGCTGTTCTAGAAAATGTCCTGACCTCCTTTTGGGTTTATAACCCTTGAAGAGCAGAGTCAAGACCTAAAGATCATCGACTTTATACAGATCTGCTACTGGGTATCTTACAGGACCCTTCAAGCTGGACCCGCTCCCCTGGGGCCTCGCAGTTGTGCTGGGGGCTGACTCCCAATGCCCACCCAACCTGCGAGGCTGGACCCTCAAGCCACTTTTACCCACTACCGGAGCCAGGTTTCCCAATGATGATCTTGAGACCTCTGACTGGCTGACCAATAAACCCACTCAGCTCCCACAAAGCCTAAAGACTATACCCTCCCCTCCCTGACCAGGAAAGCCATTAGACTCTCCTTGACTGGGTGAGCTCAACAGGGGAGATCCAGGACCAGCCCCTGCCCATGAGCCAAGGCCTCGGCCAGAGCAGTCACAGCAAGTAACTTCACCAGCTGCACTGTCAACATCACTACTGCCCAGAAATTTACCCTTCTAAGCCCAAGGCTCCTTCCCTGTAACAGTCAGCAGCTTTTCCAGCAGGCCTAGGTACCCTATGACCTATAATTATTATATGGGGTACAGAATATTCATCTTTTCAAATTCATAGGTCTTGATCTTTTTCTTTTTCTCTCAACTAGGAGGGAATATAATTCAGCAAAGGTCAGCCCTGCAGGACTATGGGGAGTTCCTAGTTCATGGAGGGAACTCCTGCCTTGATCCTGGATCAGGTGTCTGGCAAGTCTGATTTGATGAGTCCTAACTCATCCATCAACCCAGAAGCATACTGTCTGTTCAGACACATGGTTTTGGTTTCAAAAACTTATTTAATTTCTTCCATGTGTCCCATAGCAGAGTTAATCATCCCTGTGGGCCAGAACCCTTCCTGGAACCAACTACTAATGGAAGGATTTTTTTTTTTTCCTATGGGGTCATCCTTTAAAAGACCCATGTGCTAAGTTAAGTGGAAATTTCTCTTCAAATACATATATGAGCAGAACACGGCATATGGAATAAATCTGGAAGATACTTTACCTGAACTTCTACAACATAATGTTCAGTATCAGAACACATCACAGTAACCTGCATTTACTAAGGCAAGGCAGGAAGTGGCCCTTAGGATCTTTTTATAAAAGGAAAGCTTATTACAGACTTCCCTGCACCTGAAAAGTTCTATCATAAATCCACCGGGGGGGCGCCTGGGTGGCTCAGTAGTTAGGCGTCTGCCTTCCGCTCGGGTCATGATCCCAGGGTCCTGGGATCGAGCCCCACATCGGGCTCCCTGCTCCGCGGGAAGCCTGCTTCTCCCTCTCCCACTTCCCCTGCTTGTGTTCCCTCTCTCGCTATGTTTCTCTGTATCAAATAAATAAATAAAATCTTTAAAAAATTTTTAAAAATAAAAATAAATACATAAATCCACCTGGGAGACCCAGATTTGGCCAGTGCTTTTGGTGGCAAAAGCAAATACTGGGATCAATCCCCAAAGCATAAATCAGGTGAGAGTCTAAAGACTGAATCCTACTTGCAACTTAGGAATCTTGCCTTGCCCCTCCACAAACTAAGATTAATTCCCCAGAATTTTGTACATTTGACAGACTCCCATAAACGTTCCCTCCTATCAGAATAAGAGCTAAAGGTATATAAAGCATTTAAGGAAGATATGTTGAAATCCCAACCCACAACGTAATGGCCTTAGGACTTGGGGACGTTTGGTAAGTGATTAGGTCACAAGGATAGAGCCCTCATGAATGGGATTCAGTGCCTACCACAGCACTAAGAAGCCAGAAATCTTGTCCAGCTCCCAACCCTCTGTGAGGACCCAACTATAAGATGGCAATTTGCAAACCTGCAATCAGTCCTCCCCAGACCCTGAATCTGCCCACACCATGAACTTGGCCTTCCCAGCCCCCAACTGTGAGGAAGAAATTGGTCAAGTCACCCAGTCTATGGTAATTTGTTATAGCAGCCAAAACTGACTAAGACAGAAGGCTCCTTCCCCCCAGAACTGTAAGTAGTGGGCTATGATCATTACCAAACCATTTTGCTTTAGCTCCTCTGTGACCATGAATCTGGAGGCCCAGAAAGAGCTGTTCCATTAAAAATGGCTAACTCTTCACTGCTCCACATTATAGACAGATTATTTCTTTTCAGGCATTCCACTTAAACATATCCCAATCCCTGCTTGATCATTTTAATCCTATCCTTCTTAAGGCAAAGTGACCCCTGAGGCATAGATCAGCCAAAGGCACAAGTCCACTCCTGACACTATTTTCTCTAGACCATCTTGTGAAGAACTCCATCCAGTAAAATCTAAGAGAGTGGCTTTTCCTGTTTCTGTGCTTCTTGACACAATAAACAGAAAGTTAAACATTCTGTTAGAGGGTGACAAAAATAGTTTACCATCTTAAATAGGAGCAACCCTAACAGGTAATGGCTCAGAGCAAGGATTTTAGCCCAATGTCATCATGATGTGTAGGGAACAACTTTACACACATCATCTCATTCAACCAAGGCCACATGTGGTAAATCATTTACCTTGATTTTGTATAAGGAAGTTAATTTGCTCAAAGTTAAATTACCTAATGGGTATTTAATCATTTCAGTGTCCAAAAGGAGCACTCAGAGGCATACGATTTAATTTTCTGTAAAAGGTCTGTGCCTGCCCTGTGATGTAGAACTTCAAGGCCCTGACTGCACAACTGTGTCTCTACTACAGCAGACCTGGAATCCTTTTGAAGAGCATCTTGGTCCTCCCCATGGTGACCTCAAGCCCACTTCTGGACAGAACTGGGTGGTGCTGAATGCATGCACACACCCAGAGTAAGCTGCCAACTTCAGTAAGAGAATGTTCCAGAAGAAAATGCTAACCCAAACTCCATGACAAGCTCAATTCCAGACAATTTTGTTAATCTACCTCTGCTTAGGTGACTGTTGAAGCTAGGGCCACACAGAGAGCTCCTCTTCTAACACCTGGGGAGCATAGCCACAAACCGGCTGAGGGAGCAGTATCTGCTGAAGCCTCCCTAAGGACACCTCTCCTCCAGCCACACCACCAGAGAATAAGCACCTCCTTCCCTTAGAAAACTCTTGACTCACCTGAGCTATGGGATAATCCCATCAGCCTGCATGGTTTGAAATATCCCTTAAAACCACTATGAGTATGGGCGCCTGGGTGGCTCAGTTGGTTAAGCGACTGCCTTCGGCTCAGGTCATGATCCTGGAGTCCCAGGATCGAGTCCCACATCGGGCTCCCTGCTCGGCGGGGAGTCTGCTTCTCCCTCTGACCCTCCCCCCTCTCATGTGCTTGCTCTCTCTCACTCAAATAAATAAATAAATAAATAAATCTTTAAAAAAAAAAAAAAAAAACACTGAGTATGATGATAAGGACACCGGTCACATTACATAAATGTCTTCCCTATGAAGACCCAATGAAGACATTTCCCTCAGGTCTAAGTTCCAGGAATACCTGCACTTCTGCTGAGTAAACAACTTAGTTTTGTTTAGCTTTGTTTATAGAATACAAAGGTTCAGGTAACTGATCATCTAAATTGGCTGGCTGTTGGAAAGATAAGTCAAATTTGTGGCTGACCTCTGACAGGTATACAACAAGATTTTAGAATCATGGTTTCCATGTATTATCCTTATCCCTGCCTTCATCTTATTTTTCTATTCTCACTTCCCTTTTTTAATTTTTAATATTATTTTACCATTTTGGAATTTCTCTCCAAGAGCTACTTCAATTTATTTTTAGAACAAAGGATAAATAAATGTTGTAGCTACAAAGTAGGAAGTCTGACACACAATGTGTTCCCAGAGAATACAGCCCACCTTCAAGAACTACCCCTGCTTTCCCATCACCTGGGCCCACATGTCTCATGTGAGCAAAGTCCTGAGAGTTGATTTGATGCCAGACCTTACCTGGAAAACAAGCAGGTATTAAGTTTGTATCTTCAAACTTCCTGTCTTTCAGCCACTTCTTAAGCTCTATAAATTCAGGCTTATAGCTCTCATTCACTAATCAAGAGAAGAAAGAAAAAATGGGAATTAAAATCACTACATAATCAGAGCACCATTTATAAAAAATAACTGTCTCAAGGGCACATAGGTGTCTCAGTCAGTTAGGCATCTGACTCTTAATTTCGGCTCAGGTCATGATCTCAGGGTCGTGAGATTGAGCCCCACATCAGGCTCCACGCTGGGTATGGAGCCTGCTGAAGATTCTCTCTCTCCCTCTCTCTCTGCCCCTCCCCCGACCCCACTCAAGCTATCTCAAAAAAAATAAAATAATGAATAAATAAATAAAAACTGTCTCAAACAGGTGGTCATATCATAAAAGAGAATAAATAATACCTAAATAATGTAAACTAAAAGAGAAAAACCATATGATCATCTCAAAGATGCAGGAGAAGCATTTGATAAAATCTAATAATCATTCCTGATAAATAATGCCAACAAGCAAGGATAGAAGAGAATTTCCTCTACCTGATAATGACTACCTAACAAAAAAACCTACAGCTGACATAATGACGAAAAACTGAGTGCTTTCCCAAGATCAGGAACAAGACAAGGAACAAGACACTTCCAGTCAACATTGTACTAGTGGTTCTAGCCAATATAAATGAAAGAAAAATAAATAAAAGGCATCAATTATGGGTTGAATTGTGTACCCCCAAAATTCTATATTGAAGTCCTAACCCCCAGAACCTCAGAATATGACCTTATTCAGAGATAGGGGTCTCTATAGAAGTAATCAAGTTAAAATGTAGTCATTAGGGTGGCCCCTATTCCAATACTATAATGACTAGTGTCATTATAAAAAGGAAAAATCTGGACATAGGCATGCGTAGAGGAAGATGATAGAAGAAACACAGGGGGAAGACAGCCATCTACAAGCCAAAGAGAGAGACCTGGAACAGATGTTTTCGTCACAGCCCTGGGAAGAAACCAATCCTGCTGACACCTTGATTTTGGACTTCTAGCCTCCAGAACTATGAAGAAGGGAAATTTACAGCTGTAAAGGCCTATATGAAAAAAGAAGACCCAATTAAAAAAAATAGGCAAAGAAAAAATAAATTAAATAAAATAAAAAATAAAAATAAAAAACAGCCAAAGGACTTGAAGAGACATTTCTCCAATGATGGTATACAAATGGTTAATAAGTATATTTTACAAAGTTCAACCTTATTAATCACTAGAGAAATGCAAATCAAAACTACAATGTGTATCACCCGGTATCCATTAGGATGGCTACTATCAAATAAATAAATAAATAAATAAATAAATAAATAAATAAAAATAAAAAGTATTGGTAAACATGTGGAAAAACTGGAACTCTTGAGCAGTGTTGGTGGGAATGTAAAATGGTACAGCTGCTGTGGAAAACAGCACGGTGATTCCTCAAAAAATTAAAAATAGAATTGACCCAGCAATTCCAATTCTGGATATATATCCAGAATAGATAGCAGGATCTCAAAGAGATACTTGCCCATGTTCATAGCAGCATTACTCAAAAATGGCCAAGAGGTAGGAAAAAAACTAAATATCTATCAACCAATAGATGGATAAGGAAAGTGTGGCATATATACAATGGAATATTATTCAGTCTTAACTAGGAAGGAAATTCTGACACATGCTACAGCATAGATGAATCTTGAAGGCATTATGCTAAGTGAAATAAGCCAGTCACAAAAAGACAAATACTGTATGATTCCATGTATATAATCTATGTAGAACAGTCAAATTCACTGAAACAGAAGATAGAATGGTACCCACTAGGAGCCAGGGAAAAAAGGGGAATGAGGAGTTCCTATTTAATGGATATAGAATCCCAGTTCTGCAAGATGAAAAGAGTTCTGGAGATTTGCTGGACAACAATGTGAATGTACTTAACACTACTGGACTACACTTAAAAATGGTTACAATGGTAAATTTTACGTTATGTGTGTTTTACCACAATTAAAACAAAAAATTTTTTAAAAGATCTCAAGTCAATAACCTGAATAAATGGAGAAATATACCTTCTTTATGGGTTGGCAGATTCTCCCCAAAGGGATCTATAGATTCAATATGATCCAAATCAAAATTCAAGCAGAATTTTTTGCCAAAAAAAAATGACAAAATGATTCTAAAATCCATATGGAAATACACCTTGAAATACTGATTTCAAAACTTATTATAAAGCTACAGTAACCAAGATTATGTAACACTGTCATCAGGACTAACAAAGAAATCAATGAAACAGAATAGAAAGTCCAAAAACAGACCCAGACATATATGAATAGTTGATTTTTTACAAAGGTGCAAAAGCAATTCAATGAAAAAAAGGATAGTTTTTTCAATAAATGTTGCTGGAACAATTGGACGTACCTAAGCAAAAAAAAAAAAAAAAAGAACGTAGTCCTATCTTGTACAATATATAAAGTTAATTCAAAATTATTCACAGACTTAAATATAAAATCTAAAACTATAAAACTGCTAGAAGAAAACATAGTAGAAAATCTCTGCAACCTTGGGTTATGCAAATTTCTTAGGTACAACACCAAAAGGAAGATCCTTAAAACAACAAATTGATAAACAAGATTTTACCAAAATTTTAAAGTTCTGTTCTTCAAAAGAAAGACACTGTTAAGGGCATGAAAAGAAAAACCACAGAATGATTAAATATTTGCAAAACACCTATCTGATAAAAGACTTGTATCCACAATATCTAAAGAACTCTCAGTAGTCAAGAAAAAGTCAAGAAAAATAAAACAACAGACATTTTTCCAAAGAAAGCACACAGATGGCCAACAGACACATGAAAAGATGCTCAACATCACTCATCACCAGGGAAATACAAATCAAAACCACAATGAGATGTCACCTCACACCTGTCAGAATCAAAAATAAGAAACAACAAGTGTTGGTGAGGACATGGAGAAAAAGAAATCCTTGTGCACTGTTGGTGGGAATGCAAACTGGCGCAGCGCTGTGGAACATGGTATGGAGTTTCTTAAAAAAATTAAAAATAGAACTACCCTATGATCCAGTAATTCCACTACTGGGTATTTACCCAAAGAATACAAAAATACTAATTCCAAAAGATAGCTACACCCCTATGTTTACTGCAGCATTATTTAGAATAACCAAGATATGAATGCTACTCAAGTGTTCATTGAGAGATGACGGATTTTTACTCAGCCAAAAAAAGAATGAAATCTTGCCATTTACAACAACATGGATGGATCCAGAAGGTATAATGCTAAGTGAAATAAGTCAGTCAGAGAAAGATAAATACCCTATGATTTCACTCATATATGGAATTTAAGAAACAAATGAACAAAGAAAAAAAGAGATAAATTAAAAAACAAACTCTCAAATTCAGAGAACAATGGTTGCCAGAGGTGAAGTGGGTGGGGGGATGGGTGAAAGACGTGAAGGGGACGGAGAGTATATTTATCCTGATGAGCACTGAGTAATGTATACTATATTCTACACCTGAAACTAAGATAACACTGTATGTTAATTATACTGGAATTTTAAAAATTAAATGTCATAAATAAATAATTAGCGTTTTCAGCTCAAAAAATAATAAAAGAATAAAGGTGCAAAAAAATACATAGAAGGGAATTTATACTAAGATAGTGCAGTAAAAAACCAATGTGTAGTAATCAACAGCCACCACAAGTACAAACAAGAGCCAGCAAGAAGATGTAATGGAAACTAATGTCGGGACGCCTGGGTGGCTCAGTCAGTTAAGCATCTGCTTTCAGCTCAGGTCATGATCTCAGGGTCCTGGGATCGAGTCCTGCACCTGGCTCCTTGCTCAGTGGGGAGCCTGCTTCTCCCTCTGTCTGCCACTCCCCCTGCTTGTCCTCTCTCTCTCTGACAAATAAATACATAAAATCTTTAAAAAAATAAAATCTTAAAAAAAATTTTTTTTTTAAAGTAATGCCTTACTATAACCACAATACAAAATTTTAAAAAGAAAAAGAAAACCAGCTAATAAAAAACATGGGCAAAAGATCTACACAGTCAACCAAAGAATGCTTATATAAATGGCAAATAAGCACACCAGTCATTAGGAAAATACAAATCAAAACCACAATAAGATAGTACCGTTAGGATGGCTATAATCAAAAAGACAATAGGAAGTGTTGGCAAAAATGTGGAGCAAATGGAATTCTCATAAACTGCTGGAAGAAATGTGAAATTACACAACCACTCTAAAAAACAGTTTGGCAGTTTCTTTAAAAGCTAAACCTACACCCACCATATGATCCAGTCTTTCTACTCCTAGGTATTTACCCAAGAAAAAAGAAATCACGTGTCCATGCAAAGACTTGTACACAAATGTTCATAACAGCTTTATTTCTAACAGTCAAAAAAAAATGAAAACAACCCAAATGTACATCAACAGGATAAACAAATCATGGAATATATTCAGCAATTAAAAAACAATGAACTATTGATACACACAATTATCTCAAAATAACTATGCTAAGTAAAAAAAGCCAAATACTATATGTTATTATAATATCATATACTATGTGATCATATAAAACTATAAAATGCAAATAAATCAACAGGGATGCAAAGCAGATCAGTGGTGGCCTGGATGGGGGGGGGGGTACAGTTAAAGAGGGGCAAAAGAAAAGGATTACAAGGGGAAACAAGGAAACTTCTTGAGATGGGTGGATATGTTCATTATCTTGATTGTGGTGAGTTTCCTATGTGAACATATATGTCAAAATCTATCAAATTATACACTTTAATATTGACATTCATGTATGTCAATTATACCTCAATAAAACTTTTTTAAAAACATGATTAAAAAAACTAAGATCCAAGATATAAGCCTTCCAAAATATGCCACCATAAATCAGAGAACAAGATTTTACAGTAACAGCATTTAATCAGTGAGCGTTTAATGAGCAACTCCTATACACACAGCACTGTGTTAACCACAGTGGGGAATGTCCAACATGTTCTTCAACTTCAAAAGTTGACAACTTAGTTGGGAAATAAGACTTCCATAAGAAACAACTAAAAAACCATAGCTCCTTAAGAATAACACCCAATAAGCATCATAACAAAGGGTGGTGTTAGTGAAAACTGAAAGTGACATTACCAAAAGTATAAGATCTCAGCTCAGTCTTAAAGGTTGGAGAAAAACTGAATAAGCAGAGAGAAGGAAAACAGGTGTTCTAGACTGAAGGATTATGAGGAATGGCAGAGGTAGACATGTGTGGGGTGTGCCCAGGGAGCGGCATGGAGAGAACATACTTCTGGTACAGGAGTGGCAGGATGGAGCCCACAGATATCATGCAAAAGGGAATGAAAATCCATGAAAAAGGCAACATATGAGTAGTTCCTTAGGAGTTAGACTCACAGCAACAAATGAAATAACAAGCAGGGAAGAAAAACAAGGTGTAGGTAAACCAGCGAAGAGTCACCTGAAATCATCTTCCAAGAGTAAACAGAGGGTAAAGCTAACCTAAGAAAAACTAGACGACATTTAGTAGGACATTGACCAGAGAGAGCAAAGAAGGAAATATTAAAAAGACTGCTCCAGATGGTGCAGACAGGCTTGGGGTCAACTAGGAGTTTTAGTAATTTTTCTGACAGGCTTGGGGTCAACTCGGAGGTGTTTTATTAATTTTTATCAAAAATAACAACTGCATTTACGTAGTACTTTCCAGTTGGCCAAGCACTTCCACATGCAATGTCTTGTTCAGACTCCGTTACACAGAATCTGAAATGATGAATCTATATCCAAACACTGATATTCTACAGGCAGCTGGAGGTCAGAAGGAAGGTCAGGACTAGAAACAAACCTGGGAGTCATCCCTAGAGAAGACATAGTTGAAGCAATAGGAAATATATTCACAGTCCCACAAGGGTTTAAAAGAACATAATGACACTATTAAAAAGAGTATTCTTTAAGAAAGAGGTGTTAGGAAACCTAATGTACCTAGAGTTAGATGAGATTACAAATGAGATACAGGTTGAAATAATTGCATCTGGATAATTAGAAGGTCTATCATATTCCAAAACATGCATTACTTTCTCAACAATTTTCCTAAACCAGACAACTTGAAATGGAATATATTCTTCCAAAATTATGTTCAAATGGCATTGTTAAATAGTGGAAGATAAGCAGAATTAGTTTCTCTTTTATCTACTACCAAATAAGTTATTCAACATGCATCCTAATAGAAATGAGTCTTGAATGGCAGAATTAATTTTCCCTAGATGGGAAAAAATTTGATGTAAGAGCTTACAGTAAGTACTGATCAGTATTATTAACAAAGCACACTCATACTCCTTGAGCACCTTGACAGAAAGTTAAAAAAAAAAAAAAGGAAATATTCTCTCTGGACACTGCCCATGTGCCTTTGAGAAAAACTATGTGTATCTGTTAACACCACTCAACAAAGGATTCCTTCTTTTCATCCCTGGCAACAAAAGATCAAAGCTGTACCTCCTCTTGATACAGAACTTCTGAAGAGTTTCCGTCTTCTGATCCGGCTTGTTCTTCCTCTTCCCTTCTTCATCCTAAAATTGCAGTTTCTGTTCAGTTGCCCAATCCAGAACAAAAAGCATTTTCTTTGCCTTTCTTTCCAACTGTATAATAATCACTGTTCTTCATACCTACAAGGATTTAAATACACAAACATATTATTTGGTAAACCATTTCTCTAAAGTGTTTTTGTACAGAAAACATTTATACTGTGAGCTAAATCATGATTCCTTGTGCAGTAAGGCAATGCTCATTATACCGGTCCTTCTAAAATAGTTTTATCTTGAGGTCCTACTAAATGCTGATTAATCATCGAAATCCTCATAACCGATTTCACAACTGTATGCTTTGCTGACTTACACAGCTCAATTCTAATCAACATTTACTAAGCACCAACCTAAAATACTTTGAAAAAACGGTAGCCAGGAAGCCCTCATCAGCTAGGAAGTCTTAGAGAAAAAAAAGACCCTCTTTTAATATAAAGGAAATAATGATTTGTTCTTAAAACCAGGATACTGAAATCAATATAAGTAAATGGGGGGTTGCAACAGATTAGTGAGGGAATGAGAGCCAAGAAAGCAGGCGAAACAAATGATCGTAAAATCCAAAATTACTATTGTAGTTTCTACATGCTACTTCTTTGGAAGCATAAAAAAGGAAATCCATTAACCACACCAGAGTGATACAGACGATGGAGTATTATGCAGCCATTAATAGGAAGAAGGTAGGGCGCCTGGGTGGCTCAGTTGGTTAAGCGACTGCCTTCGGCTCAGGTCATGATCCTGGAGTCCCGGGATCGAGTCCCGCATCGGGCTCCCTGCTCGGCAGGGAGTCTGCTTCTCCCTCTGACCCTCCTCCCTCTCATGCTCTCTGTCTCTCATTCTCTCTCTCTCAAATAAATAAATAAAAAATCTTTAAAAAAAAAAAAATAGGAAGAAGGTATGTGCTAAGGTGTCCGAATGTTCAAGATACATTAAATGAAAAATAAAGTTGCAGAACATTTAATGATCCCTTTTGGATTTGCTTCTGACACATTCTGTATGTTCATAAAACAAGAGAATTTAAGGAAGGCTATTCAAAAACGTGCCTGAGGAGGGGGCTTCTACAATTACTTTCGTATCCTCCTATTCTGTGACTTATATATGTATGAGCACATGAACGACATAACATGACTATTACTATGTGCATATATGTGCATGTTAACCATACAACTGGTTTTAAAATCTACTACTAATAAACACCGGACAGAAATGAGTAACAAGAAGTCCAGGCACTATTAACATCCCACTGCAGCAGTGGAAGGCTCCCTGATCTACGCAAAGGCTGCGAGCCGGGTCCCAGAGCCAACCGCGGCTCGTCCCCTCCGGTGCCCAGAGCCCCGCCAGCACCCGGACGCCCGGTGACAGCACGGCGAACCCCCCAGCCTCGGACTCGCACTTGAGGCTGAGCCTCGGGCCCTGGAGGGAGCAACTCCGGCCGCAGGCTTCTGCACATCCCCCAGTGCACCTCAACCACAGCTTCTGGGGCGACATCCGCTGGAGGATCTCCAGACGACGGGGCGAGGGGGGCGAGGGGGGCGAGGGGGGGCGAGGGGGGCGGGGGGTTACGGCCGCGCGCAGCGTAACGCCAGGCCTGGTGGGCGTCTGCGAGCTGAGCTGTTCTTTTCACACCAAAAAGTGAAAACATACGGAAAGCTCCAGCGCTACCCGCGCCGGGACCCAGGCACCCCGCGTTCCCCAGCTTCCGTCACCCCGCAAGTCCTTCCGGCTCACCTCGGCGCGGCGGCGGGCCCAGCGCGCGAGGAAACCCAGAGAAAAGAGCGCCCCAGACGAACGCGAGTTAAGGAGGGGGCCTAAGCAGCAGTGGGAGAGGCCGAGCGCGCGCGCGCACGCCCGCCTCGAGTCTTCACCAACCCAAGTCCTCAGTCGCCGGGCAGAGGACTCGGCGTGCCGTGGCCGCCGCCTCCCCGCGTGCGCCTGCGCCTGCGCCTGCGCCTAGTTTCCCGGAAGCGCCGCGGCCGCCCCACCCAGCGGGGGTCAAGGGTAAATAAACCCCGCGGCACTCAGGCAGGGAAGCTGCGCCCCGTAGCGTCCGCCTGCGCAGTCTTTGCCTCCCTAGAAGAGGGGAGGGGCCTCTTAGGGCGCGGAGCCGGCACAGTCCGGGCCTTAAAGCCGCCAGCTCCCCTCCTCCTACCTCGGTCCTTCGACCCTCGCCACGCCCCGGGGCCCGCCTCTGGCCCTACCTGGCAACCTTTCCCTCCGCCTCACCCCGCCCCACCCCTCCCTCGGTTGGCCAGGGCCTGGCCTCGCCCCACTCCACTTGCTGGAGCTTAGCTACCCCAGTCCCAGCCTTACAGAGTTCCAAGTCCTTTCTGGATATGGAGCTCAGTTTCTGCCCACCCACTCCCCGCTAGGCTTAGTGACTTGCTTCCCAAGAGTACAGTATGGAGAGGGAAGAAAATTAACTGCAGTGGAGAAACCTGGCAGATACTGCCTTGGTCAGGTGATGAGGATTAATGGCGATAAATCATGTTGGTAGCGTGCTCCCCAGATGTAAGAAGGGTACTTCACCTCTGTGGTATTCCTCCCCAAAACCCATAACCCCAATTCTTACTGAGAAAAATATCAGACAAACCCAAAAACACCCGATCATGTACTTTGACAAAATCTGTCAAAGTTCATGAAAAACAAGCAAACTCAAAATCTCTCATAAACCAAAAAAAAAAAACTAAGGAGACATGACAGTTATATGTAATGTGATATTCTGGAGGGCGTCCTGGAATAGAAGAAAGCTATTAGGAGGAAAGCTAGTAAAATCCAAATAAAGCAGGGAGCTTAGTGAATACTACTGTTCCATGTTGCTTTTTTACTTGTGACAAATAATAGTAAGATGTTAATAATAGGGAATTCTCTACTATATTTGCAACTTTTTAGTAAATATATTCTAAAATTAAGTTTATTGAAAAGTAAAGGGGGGATAGGGGCCCGCTGGGTGGCTCAGTCAGTTAAGCATCTGACTCTTAATTTCAGCTCAGGTCATGACATCAAGGTCGTGAGACTGAGCCCCACATTGGGCTCTGCACGGAGCATGGAGCCTGCTTAAGATTCTCTCTCTCCCTCTCCCTCTGCCCACCCCCACCACTCGAGCACACTCTTTCTCTAAAAAAAAATAAGGAAAGAAAGAAAAGGGGGGACTGGAAATAGTTGGTTCCAGATTTGGACCTATGATTCAAGGCTGTCATCAAGGATCAAGGCTCTGTCTAATTTTCCACAATGCCATTCTTAGGGAGTTAGCTATTCACCTGTTAGTTTGTTTCTTCGTCGTGTCAAGACAGAGTTGCTGTAGCTCCAAGCATCACATTCTCACACAAATGAATTCAAGACAGGAAGAAAAGGATCTGAAGAGACAAGTATTTTCTTTTTATGAGGGAGGAAAATAATGCATACTCCCATTTTCTAGATGGGAATTGGCAAAGAGTCTCTCCTTGAGCAAACTCTAGCCAGGCTCTTCTGAGCCTTCCTCTGAACTAGACCTCAGTCTTGGCCTATAAAATCTACATACTCAATACACTGATTTCATCCCCCCTCCCACACATACACATTAAAATTATATTTTTTAAAAAGCAAACACTGGGCGCCTGGGTGGCTCAGTTGGTTAAGCGACTGCCTTCGGCTCAGGTCATGATCCTGGAGTCCCGGGATCGAGTCCCGCATCGGGCTCCCTGCTTGGCGGGGAGTCTGCTTTGCTCTCTGACCCTATCCCCTCTCATGTGTTCTCTCTCATTCTCTCTCTCTCAAAATAAATAAATAAAATCTTTAAAAAAAATAAAAATAAAAAAATAAAAAGCAAACACTGACATAGTTTCTGATAGCTCAAAGCTGCATCCCTAAGATGACCCTAGCCCTCTGTAACACACTCAAGGCTGCCAAAAAGAATTTACTATTTGTTTTAGCCAACAACTGATAATAAGCCCTTCACCACCTTTTGTTAGAGCATTTACTAAAAAGGGTTTATAATGTGTGAGTCCTTCCTCTGTCCAATTGAGGTATATATCTATTTCCTACAACTCAGTAGTGTCTTTCTCAAGGATTTGAAAGCCATTCCTTTGAAATATAATCATCAGAAAAGATAGGGCCTCTGTCTCTCAGTCTCTGTGTAACCCACACAGCTGGCCTAATGACATTTACACTGACCCACTCTTTATAATTTTTCATTTCCCCAACTCTACTCAAGCCCCTCCATTCCCCCTCCCTACTCCCTCATTCTCCCTTTAAAACTATCAGCCACCTCTGTACAAATCCAAGTTTGAGTGCAGTTCATGCTGGACCCATTTTCCTATTTCAGTAGTATATTACTGATTAAAATCTCTCCTTACCACATTAAACAGTATCCAGTGTTGTTTATCTTTGACAAAATTAAGTAAATTGCTTGGAGTTGCCTATCTACTAAGCATCTCAGCCACAATTTGATTCTGGGAATCAAAATCCATGCTCCACCCTTTTAAGAAGGCTTATTGAACATCCTAAACAAGCAAAATGTGTAAGAAGAAAAGCCGGTGCCAAGTGGAGCTCTATAAGTGTAAATAATCATGGGCAAGGGAAGACCCTGAGAGCTTAATAACTTGTCATTTAACAGTACTGTTTTTCCCACATCTTTTATGTTAACAGACACCATAGAACTGGGTACTCTCAGGCAAATAAAATGACTGCTTTGAACCAGTGGACAGTAAAGATGTGAGTTTATTCCACAAGGTAAAAGATGTGATAAACTTTCTTTCTCCATCTAGCAGCCAGGATGATCTCAGAGTTAACTCACAACTAAGCAATATCTTCCAAGCTAGCTAGTACTAACAGAGATCTGGGGCCTCCATCTTTACTCTTTTGTTTCATTTCTCAAGTTGTTCAGAAGTCAGACAAGGTGCTATGTATGGAAAGTCATAGGGGCTTCACAAACACACAGCCAGGGTCAAGACCCAAATTTGACAGGAGAAAAAAAATTTTAAATCATCCAAATAGAGCTTAATTCACTGGCTTTAAATTAGCATGCTTTTCAAAAAAAGTTTCGAAACACTTCCCATACTCAAATCTATCCTTTCCTTTGTGATTCTTCGCTGTTCTTATGCCTACAAAGTCCTTTTCCCACAAATTTTAGTTATATTTTCTTATACTTGTTTTATGGTTGCATTTATAAAACTGTAAATTTAAAAGTGAGAAAGCACTTTTTTCTCTTTTTAGATATTAACTGATGACATTATGCAATTATCACTCCCTTTCCTCAGTACCATTTTTGGAATAATTCCTTCTTATCTCCAAAATTGCTAATACCACTTTCATCATATGCTAAATTCTTATTTCCCTGTGATATTTTATGTATTGTATTTTCTTGAGTGTCCTGCCTCATTGACCTGTCAAGTCTTATGTTGGGATCAGTACTAAAAGGATAAACAAATCAGGCAGAAAATATAATTCATGGCCCTTTTAGAATTTGCCTTTTGAAACAGTAGGCCCTCACCATGCCCAAAATTTCCTGCACACCATATGCTATCTGTGAATGGCTCTCTTAATGAATTTAATAACATTGGCTCACCCAGCTATAGAAGAAAGTAGCGAGTGGTGTGGAGAGAGGCCAGCAAATGACAGACCAAGTATACACTTGGATAAAAGAGGAAAATCCAAAACAAAGATCTTAGTTATATCTTGAGTGGGGGAAAAAAAAATCCACAAAGGTTACACTGCACAACTCCATCTATGTAACATTTTTAAAACAATTTTTAAAATGAGGAACAGATTACTGGTTCCCAGGCAATTGAATGGGCGGGGGGGGGGGGGGGGTGCAAAAGAGATATGTTCAGCTATAAAAAAGCAACACTGGGGGTCCTTGCGCTGATGACTGTAGTGGTGGACAGACAGACCTATATGTGATAAAATTGTATAAATCCCAATATAAACAATAATAAGTACTAGTAAAACTGAGGAAATCTGAATATGATTGGTGGATTGTTGTGATGTCAATATCCTCATTATGATAATTGTACTATAGTGTTGCAAAATATTACCCTAGAGGAAAACGGGGTAAAGTATAAGGAATCTCTGGTTTGTTTTGTGTTGTTTTGTTTTTGTTTTTTTTTTACTACTACATGTGAATCTGCAATTATCTCAATAAAAATTTAGGTCAAAGAAAGCAAAGGTCTTTCCCAGATTGTTAGTTTTGTTTTTTTGCAACTGCTTGGAAACCCACTTTGAAATTGCAACATAATTGGAATCTATCTAAAGCATTGCTTGTAACTTTCTATTGTGACAGAAATACTATAGATCTGCACTGTCCAATACAGTGTCCACTAACACATGTGACTACTGAGTGCTTGAAATATAACTAATGCAACTAAAGACTGAATTTTAAATTGTATTATTTCTATTAAATTTACATTTAAATAACCACTAGTGGCTGTGGCTCCCCTATGAGGACAGTACACAAATGAGATTTGATTTTATAGTCCCCTATTCCTGAAATCGGAGGGGGAGACGAACCATGAGAGACTATGGACTCTGAGAAACAAACTGAGGCTTCTAGAGGGGAGGGGGTGGGGGGATGGGTTAGCCTGGTGATGGGTATTAAAGAGGGCACGTACTGCATGGAGCACTGGGTGTTATGCACAAACAATGAATCATGGATCACTACATCAGAAACTAATGATGTAATGTATGGTGATTAACATAACATAATAAAAAATTAGTCCCCTATTCCTCTGTTGTAAATAGGAAATAAGAGGAAGAAAAATCATTTCCTAACACTGAACTAATTTACGAAATTTCTAAGGATCCATTTCCTCACTTTAAAGTGGGTAAAATAAGATGGACCCTGAGGAGTTATTTTGAGAAAGGACTTCAAAACCCCCCTCCCACCAGTACACCGCAGGACCTGGATAAGTAACCTGATGACCCTGCAAACACCTAAGAAGGTAGTCCTGTGACATATCAGTGAATGCTCCCCACTATTATGTAAAAAAACAGCCAAGGATTAGTAGATTTGCTTTCACACACTTAAGGAAGAAAACAACACACCCACGATCTCTTGCCATGTTACTCCTAGCTTATTCCACAACTATAGTTCCAAAGACTTCATTCAGTTCAAGAGATTTTTTTAAACACCAGGGGAAGAAAAAAAAAGTCTAGACAGATACGCTATTTCTTCAAGTGCACACGCAAATAGTTTAATAGTTGGGAGAATACAAGGGAAAACTCGCGGAGAACAAAGAATAAAGGTTCAGTGCAGATATAGTGAGGACACGGCCAATCGGAACAATTACCTCCACTTCAGGGCGGGGCCGTCCTCAGACCAGCCCTGGTCACCCACCCGCGGGTTTTGCGACCGAACTAGTCGCCCCTCCCCTTCGCCACCACCCCTTTGAGGTTCCCGAGAAGCCACGCCCCAAAGGGGGCGAGTCATGCCCGGGCGCCCCTAGCAACCTTTGGCCTCGCGCAGGCGCGCTAAACCCTGCCTTTAAACTCGGAGGCGCCGCGCTGAGCAAACCGTACTGGTCGGCGCTCCAGGCCAGTACGTCGGGCGTCCCGCACACAGCCATGTCATCAGCCACCCGAGTGGCGCTGGTGACCGGGGCCAACAAGGGCATCGGCTTCGCCATCGCGCGCGACCTGTGCCGCCAGTTCTCCGGGGACGTGGTGCTCACGGCGCGGGACGAGGCGCGGGGCCGCGCGGCCGTGCAGCAGCTCCAGGCCGAGGGCCTGAGTCCCCGCTTCCACCTGCTGGACATCAACGACCTGCAGAGCATCCGCGCCCTGCGCGACTTCCTGCGCAAGGAGTACGGGGGCCTGGACGTGCTGGTCAACAACGCGGGCATTGCTTTCAAGAGTAAGGGGATGGGAGCTAGAAGGGGAGGTGGACCCCCGGAGCTCCTCCAGCCAGGGTGGGCTCCAGCTGTTGCGGAATCCATGCGGTCCGGCTCCTGACGTGTGGCATCCAAAATGGCTCCTTAGGGCAGGAGGGATGGAGGGACAGGGGTGGGGCTCAGGCAGAGCCCAACAGAAATTGCAGCGCTTATCAGCCAGAGTGACCTTTGTGCTTCCTCCGATTCCTGGGGATTTTTTCCAGGTTGTCAGAGAGTAGTTTCTCTCATTGGATTTTAAGGCAGTTGGGTTATTTTTACTGCATTTTGAAATAAAAAGAAAACTGCACAAATTGGTTAACAAGAAATCCCATGTGTGCACCACCCCTTCACCCAGCCTCCCCCAATGGTGCCATCTTATACCACTACAGCATTATCAAATGAGAAAATTGTCAGTGTCATAAGACTGTAAACTAGAAGCCAGTTTTACACAAAATTCACCAGACTTCACATGCACTTTTTTAACATATATCTTTCTGTGGAATTTTCCCACAAGGCTACTATTAACGCTACTCTCTTTCTCCCTGGGAAGCTGATGATCCCACACCGTTTCATATTCAAGCAGAAGTGACCATGAGAACAAACTTCTTTGGTACCCGAGATGTGTGCACAGAACTGTTGCCTCTAATGAAACCCCAAGGTGAGCCTGGTCAGGGGCCCAAGCTGTGGTGGTTCTGCCATGATCTGGCCCCTTGCCTCTCTGACCTCATCTACAGACCCCTGGACCCTCTCCCTACTCAGCCACACCAGCCTCCTTACTAGGTCTCCTCCTGGACATGTGCCCCTCTGCCTCAGGACTCACACACTCGTCCTGCAGTCAGCAGTGCCCTCTGTCCCGCTGGTCCTTCACAACTACCTTGGTCTTATCCTTCAAATCTCTCTTCAGAGAGGCCTTTTACTTGCTCCATGCCACTCACAGGTGCAGGACCCTGAAGATTCCTTCCTGGACCCTTCTCCTTCTCCCTCTCTCCCACGGATTTTATTCAGACCAGTAGACTCCTCACTCTCCAAATTTCTCAGGCCCCCCTAACATCAATCACCTGCCTAGAACATTCCCAGAGCTCCAGACACACATAGTTCTCTTCCTGCCTCTCCTCCTCAGGATGCCCTCCTAGGCCCTGTCTAGCCTGGGTGCAGACCTCTCCCCATGGCCAGCAAGAGGCCTGCGCACTCACATGTGGTCAGAGCTGCCGATGGCCACAGGCCAGTGGTACGTCGCCATGTGGACGGGGCACCTGTATGGCCCCCCCACCCCGGGCTGTAATATTGGATGCCTCTTGTTGCACAACCCACTGTTCATGCCCTTACCCTCATTCCTCCTGCTCACGCCTCCCTCCTCCTCCTTGTTATCTGCATTGACCTTTCAAAGGAACATCAGTTTCAACCTCTGTGCTGGTCCTGATTCACTGCAGTGATACTAGTCAAGTGAGTGCCTTCCTTCTAGTCCACTCCCACTCCTACAGGACAGGGCCGCATCTGTCTAGAAGGAGTGGCTATCTCAACCACTGCACAATACAGCTATGTTCCCTGTCCCTCGAGTTTTCCCAGATGGGGGAAGGCACAATCCACTCCATTATGCCCTTAGGAATTCTGACGTAAAGATTCAAAGCTACAGTTACAGTGTGTCGTGATTACAGATTATCCCTGCTTCCCATTTCCATAGTTGCATCCCTGGTCCTGGGATCACGGTAAGAGTAGGAAGAAAAGGAAGTTGAGATGATGCAGGGAAGGACTGTAAGGTTAAGTCAGCATCCTCCCCCATGCCCTCTCCCCAGAATCCCCAGCGAAGCAGAAGAATCTGTCCAGTGGGGAATGTCCCTTGGCACCCACTCCCCTCATGTTGAGTGTGAATACATGCTCATGAATGTGTCTAAGCCCCAAATACCTTTGTCTCGTGTTTGAGACAACCAAGGATTCAGATGCCTGTTCAGTTCTCTGTGGAACCACTTCTCTGCAGATGAAAATGTGTTGCTTGGCCTGCACAAATGCAACTCCTTAGTCCAGACTGTTGCAGCATCTTCTGTCCTCATCCTGCTATACTGCGTGAACATTGCCATTGTCTTCTGCATTTTCCCAAAGCTTGGTCCAGAAATAGTGTCTTAACTTGTCTGGACCCATTTGGAACTTGCCAAACTACTACCTTCAACCCAACTTACCAGTCTTGTGCAGGGCCTTCTCCTTAGGCAGTCTCTCCCATAACCATCTCCAGTCTTTGTCTCTTTTGCTGAGAAATGGAATAGTGCTTAGCATTTTTTTTTTTTTTTTTTTTTGCCTCACAGGGTGGAAGAGTCTATGTCAACAATTCCCCAGCTGTAACTCTCCCATTTTCACCCACCTCAGGGACCAGATGGCCACTTCATACAAGCACACCAGGATATCCACTTGCTGATTCCACTCCCATTCCAGTCCTGGAAGGGGTTCTTCTGAGGGGCATTGACATGTCTGACTTTAATCTGCCCCCTAAATTGCCACAGTGACTTCCATAGGGCCATGCCCTGTATGGACGTTCTTCAATCCCCCAGTTTCCGACTGCCTCTCTCCATGACCGTATTCTCAGGCCATGACATACTCCCGAGTTCATAAAAACCCTATCATAGACAAATCACCATGCAGGTCAGGACACTCTACTAATTTGTTTTTACCATCCTCAAACAGAGTGCCAGGCTTCCAAACCAGCCCTCCTTACACCAGTCAGCTCTTTATTGGTCAGTACAGACCTGTTTGTAGACCATCCCCAAGTGACCATAAGATCCTCAGGTGGTCCCAAAGGTGGCCTTAGGGAGAAAGAGGTAATCCACTCTTGAATGCAGTGTCTCCTTACCTTCTCCTTATCGTGTTCTTCTATACAGCATTTCCATTTTCCTGTGGAACATCTGCTCAGTGCCCTCCCCTTTAGAGCATTTCTCACACATCATCAGAGACATTATGGGTATAACAAGTTTCAAGACCGTGTCATAGTCTTCACTCATACAGGCAGTCTTCATTAACACTTACAGCAAATTAATAAAGTCTAAAGTGGAAATTTTCTCATACAAAATCTTAGCGAAATTGGTATTTATCGTTCTTGTGCCTTTCTACATAACATTTTGTGTTGTATTTTAGGCAGAGTGGTGAATGTGTCTAGCATGGTGAGTCTGAAAGCCCTTAAAAAGTGCAGCCCAGAACTGCAGCAGAAGTTTAGAAGCGAGGCCATCACAGAGGAGGAGCTGGTGGGGCTCATGAACAAGTTCGTGGAAGACACAAAGAAAGGCGTGCACAGGAAGGAGGGCTGGCCTGATACTGCCTATGGAGTGACAAAAATCGGTGTCACGGTCCTGTCCAGAATCCATGCGAGGAACCTGAGTGAGCAGAGGAGAGGTGACAAGATCCTCCTGAACGCCTGCTGCCCTGGATGGGTGAGAACAGACATGGCGGGACCTAAAGCCCCTAAAAGCCCAGAAGAGGGAGCAGAGACCCCTGTCTACTTGGCCCTTTTGCCCTCTGATGCTGACGGACCTCATGGGGAGTTTGTTATGGAGAAGAAAGTTGAACAATGGTGAGCTTAATTCACAGCTCCATCCATGGATCCCTTTATGATACCCCCTCCTTTCACCAAAAGGACTCTTCCACTGTCAGTCGTATCCCTCTCCATAGCAAGAAAACATATAAACTATCCCTGTTGAGTATTCAATTTGAGGAGGCTACTAATTCAGGGATAAGGGACAGAATAAATGAAATAACCCCAGAGATGAATAAACCTCTATAAATGCCTATTTATGCAGACTCTTTATATGCTGAACCAGCTAAGAAGTCTACTACACCTAATAAGATCAAGAGAAGTTAGAGTTTTGCTCAAGGGTAAGCAAACATACAAAGAGGCAGACAGTAATATGTTTAGCTTTGCAGGCCACACACTCCTGTCACATCTCCTCAGATCTGCTGTTGTAGCATGAAAGAAACCACAGAAAATATACAAACCAATAAGCATGGTTGGATGTGGCATGCAGCCCATTGTACCAGCCTCTAGCATGGCATGGACAACACCATGAAGGGAAGACATCCCCCGGGGTCTCTGAATATCTAACTCATTGGGGAAAAGAAACCATTACCAAGTGTGAAATGGCAGTGGGAACTTAGATACATCCCTGGGCACTCTGAGACATGGAGAAAATTGAGTATGGAATGGGTATGGATGATGAGTCCCCGGGAGTGAGGCCCAAGACACCAGTGTGACGAGAAGATTCTTACTGCCCCGTCCAAGCCTGGCTCCCTGTGGGCCTGACTGACTGTCCACCACATGCCTGGCTTCACAGGAATATGCATGTTGGAAATGTGCCTCTACTACACTGATTATTTTTCACTCTTCACCAGGGGTTTTCAGCCTCACCCAAATGAAAGGTGAGAGACCCTGAAAGCAAAACTTTTAAAAGTTTTTCACTTCAAAGGGCTGAAAACGTCCTCCCTGTTATTTTGCGTTTAATTTTTTACTTTGCGTTTCTGAACTGACACATGAGGAATATCAATGTCTAGGACAACACAGTGGATCCTACCGTAAATTTGCAAAAATACTCTGATGTGATCACATAGGTCTTTTCTCCTTGATATTTTAAAACAACACCTAATTATATAAAATACTTTTTAACTGTGACCTTAACCTAAACCAAAAAATAGGCACTTCAGGCAAACGGGATTATGAAACCATTAAATCAAACATTCCAATCAATACCTTGGCCCACCGTGTCTTCATAAACATCCCCTCCCACTCGGAGACCCTTGGAATCACACTGAGGGAGAGCCCTGCCCACAGCCAAGTCTCATCACAGGACCGAATTCTCTATTTCTCCCCCTTGAGTTTCTCCTAAGAAAGGAAGGGTACCTGTATCCTCAGAACCACTTTTCCTATGCCAGAAATTTCATTGCACCTTGGAAGAACCCAACCATTCCCATTCTGCAGTGGAAGGACATGTTCCCAAGACATTCTCTCTACCCCTTTTTTCCTTTTGAGTTTTTCCCAAAATTATTTTAGGTCAACTTCCGTGAATCTCTAGCCCCCTATAACCACCACCAACTACCTTTCTTTTGGGAAGCATTTGAGTCCAACACGAACCATTGTTTGTCTCAGAGGAGGGACCCTAAGAGGGTAGGGACTCAGTTGGGCTCAGGGTGCAGCTGCTGGAGGGACAGACCTGGTATAGTGTTATTAGGAAAATTGCTAGAACATTTGGCCCCTCCTTCGATGGAGGGACTGAGGCGGGGCCTTGGGCACTAGGAGCCACAGTGCTGAATCTTAGAACACAGTTCTGCTGGCATCTCTGACTGTGTTAGACCTCTGCACCACCAGCCCTCCGTGGGGCCCATAGCACCATCTGCTCGCCACCTAGGGTAGTGCTTGCTCTCCACACAGCCATGTCATTGGCCCCCCGTGTGGCACTGGTGACCGGGGCCAGCAAGGGCATTGGCTTCACCATCGCGCGCGACCTGTGCTGGCAGTTCTCCGGGGACGTGGTGCTCACGGCGCGGGACGAAGTGCGGGGACAGGTGGCGGTGAAAAAGCTCCAGGCCAAGGGCGCCTGGGTGGCTCAGTTGGTTAAGCGACTGCCTTCAGCTCAGGTCATGATCCTGGAGTCCCTGGATCGAGTCCCGCATCAGGCTCCCTGCTCGGCAGGGAGTCTGCTTCTCCCTCTGACCCTCCCAACCCTCCCCCCTCTCATGTGCTCTCTCTCAGTCTCTCTCTCTCTCAAATAAATAAATAAAATCTTTAAAAAAAAAAAAAAAAAAGCTCCAGGCCGAGGGCCTGAGTCCCCGCTTCCACCTGCTGGACATCGACGACCTGCAGAGCATCTGCGCCCTGCGCGACTTCCTGCGCAAGGAGTACGGAGGACTGGACGTGCTGGTCAACAACGCGGGCATCGCATTCAAGGGTAAGGACACGGGAACACGTTGGGCTGGAGACCTCCCTTAGGGGACCTTCCAGGGTGGGTGGGGCATGGTCCCTGAAGGCTCCCGGAGGACCCAGAGCTCCTATGGGGTCTAGAAGGGCCTCCCTAGGGAAAGAGGCTGGACTGGAGGCACACAGAAAGAAGAGGCATCGGGGGGTTGCAAGTCTTAAAGCCAGAGCACCTTGGCATTGCCATGGATTAATCTCAGGGACCTGACGGAGAGTTTGGCAAGTTTCATTCGGTTTGGATCAGAGCCATTCGGTGAATGTTTAATCTATTTTGTAATAAACAAAAATTGCAATCAGAGATACACAGAAATCCCACTAGGCACATTTCCCAAGCCTCCTCAAATGATGCCAACTTACCAAGCTACACAGCAGATACATCACGTTGGGAAAATACAGTTCACTAACCCAAACATTAATGAGAGTTCACCAGATTGCACCTCCAAAAAGAATGTTACTGTCACGGGGCGCCTGGGTGGCTCAGTTGGTTGAGCGGCTGCCTTCGGCTCAGGTCGTGATCCCAGGGTCCTGGGATCAAGCCCCGCATCAGGCTCCCTGCTCGGCGGGGAGCCTGCTTCTCCCTCTCCCACTCCCCCCGCTTGTGTTCCCTCTCTCGCTGTGTCTCTCTCTGTCAAATAAATAAATAAAATCTTAAAAAAAAAAAAAAAAAGAATGTTACTGTCACTTCGTGGGATTTTCTCAAATGGCTACTATTTATTAAAATATTCTCCTCCTCCCCTAACAGCTGGTGATCCCAAACCGTTTCATATTCAAGCAGAAGTGACCATGAGAACAAACTTCTTTGGTACCCGAGATGTGTGCACAGAACTGTTGCCTCTAATGAAACCCCAAGGTGAGCCTGGTCAGGGGCCCAAGCTGTGGTGGTTCTGCCATGATCTGGCCTCTTGCCTCTCTGACCTCATCTACAGACCCCTGGACCCTCTCCCTACTCAGCCACACCAGCCTCCTTGCTAGGTCTCCTCCTGGACATGTGCCCCTCTGCCTCAGGACTCACACACTCGTCCTGCAGTCAGCAGTGCCCTCTGTCCCGCTGGTCCTTCACAACTGCCTCGGTCTTATCCTTCAAATCTCTCCTCAGAGAGGCCTTTTACTTGCTCCATGCCACTCACAGGTGCAGGACCCTGAAGATTATTTCCTGGACCCTTTCTTCTCCCTCTCCCTTTCTCCCAGGGATTTTATTCAGACCAGTGGACTCCTCACTCTCCAGACTTCTCAGACCCACCTAACATCGGTCACCTGCCTAGAACATTCCCAGAGCTCCAGACACATATAGGTCTCTTCCCGCCTCTCTTCCTTACAATGCCTTCCCACTCCTCCAGCCCCCAACCCATACACCCATTTAAAACATCTACATTTCCAGGGGCGCCTGGGTGGCTCAGGCGGTTAAGCATCTGCCTTCGGCTCAGGTCATGATCTCAGGGTCCTGGGATCAAGCCCTACATCAGACTCTCTGCTCAGCAAGGAGCCTGCTTCTTCCTCTCCCTCCCACTCCTCCTGCTTGTGTTCTCTCTCTCCCTCTGTCAAATAAATAAATAAAATCTTTAAAAAAAAAAAATAAAACATCTACATTTCCAAAACAATTATCATTTCCCACACATGTCCTGGTCACAGACCCTACCATCCACCAACAAAGAATAATGAGGTCACCATGCCCATCTCCTGATTATAGGGACCAGGTCCTAAGAGTTGTCCTATGGATTTTGTCCCCAGACCTTTCCTCCATCCCAGCTCTAAACAGACACTAGCCTGTCATTTCTGGACCAATGCAACCTTCCTAAGAGACCCTGCTTCTTCTGTCTTTTCCTCTCTAGGCATTCTCTCTACTCTCTGAGCACTCACTTATTCCCAAAAGTCCTTCAGGAGCAAAGCCCAAGACCTGAGCATCACTTGTAGGCATCTCTGTCATCAGACCTGCCAAACCCCAATCCCATCAACTCCCCTTCCCCTTGTCCAATGCTCTGCACTAAACAAACTGCCATAATTCCTTGCTTGTCAACTAGTGTAATACTTAACCCACAAGAACGTGATGCGGGGAACCACCACCCTTTTACTACACTCATTAAGATAAGCTGATACTGGGCGCCTGGGTGGCTCAGTTGGTTAAGCGACTGCCTTCGGCTCAGGTCATGGTCCTGGAGTCCCAGGATCGAGTCCCGCATTGGGCTCCCTGCTCGGCAGGGAGCCTGCTTCTCCCTCTGACCTTCCCCCCTCTCATGTGCTCTCTCTCTCTCTCATTCTCTCTGTCTCAAATAAATAAATAAAATCTTTAAAAAAAAAAAAGATAAGCTGATACTTTTAGAAAGATTAAGATGTCTGGCTTGAATTGAGGGCATGCAGGTACAGTGGACTCTCTGTTCTGCCCCCAATTTGTCTTCTGACCTGGAAAGTTCTACTATTTCTTCTAACACTGGCTTCACTGGCATCGCAAAGGGTCGCTCTCAATGTCACCGACTCCTTCACTCACCACAACACCTGAGTGGGATGGAGTTCCTTGTGCCACCACCACGCATCCTACAGGTATTCCCTTAGAAGGCAAAACTGGTTTCTGACCGAGTTTTTTTCTCACTTACTGAATAGTGTTGGTGCTTGCTGTGTGTTGACCTTGGACCAGAATGTGGAGTGCGTGCTGTCCTGCATTTGCTAAGGCAAGCTCTAATCAAACAATTCATCTTACCTCAGGGAAACTAGACTTCATGGACATGGAAATGCACATGGAAATGCATGGACTTTCTCAGTGTGAAAGCAGGGTTTTCTTGCCTTTTGAAATAGGAGAGTTCTTCCATTAGTTGGGGGGATGGCAGCCACTGTGCCCTTGTTACCAGGACTTTGTCCTCTTTGGGGAGACTATCTGAGATAAATCCTAGCTAGGAAAGCCAAAAGCAAATACTGTCCCTCCCCTCCCCTACTTCACAACCTAGGATACAAAGAACAACCTTCAATGACTTCACCAGTTCTCTGTGGGTGCAGAACACATTCCAGAGGCCCGCGTTTGCTCTGTTTTTTGGCATGGAGGGACAAAACGAAAAAGAATGTGACCTACAGGACAGAGGCATAGTAGAGTGGTTCTTCTCTTTTAATCCTTTCTTCAAAAAAGAGTTTTACTGAAATAATGGAGCCACAAAAAAGTTAAGCATCTACAACCACCAGATGCCCACCACCTTTTTAACCAGACAGTCAGTATCTAGGCCACGTACATCTCCTCCCACATTCCATGGCTTTTCTTCCCCATTCCCCTAAATTCATATTCCTGAATTTAAAGGATACACTCTCTAAAGTGATAAACTGTTGTTCTTCTATTTTCTCTTTAAATTATACTATGCATTTGGTTTGAAAAAGATATTAAAAAATAGATACTCCTTTAAATATAAAAACTGTAAACAATTACTCACACGTGCCAATATAAGTTCATTGCTATAAATACTAACTATATTTTCAAAAAAGAGGTAGTGAGAACCATGTCAGTGCTTCACACTTTTAGCAGCTTATTGAGACACAATTCACGTCTCGTACACTTCACCCATCTCAGATATCCAACTCAGTGGATTTTAGGAAATGGGCCGAGTTGTGGAACCATCACTGCTTCAAGATTAGCACACTGTCATCAGCTCAGGGAGATCCCGCGCCCTTAGCTATCAGCCCTCCATTCCCCCATCCCCCCCTGCCCCAAGCACCCGCCAATCTACACTCCCCCCTTCATTTCCTCTTCTGGACATCCCATGTATGGAGGAGCATATAATGAGTGGTCTTTTGTGACTGGCTTTTTAATTTTGAATAACGCTCTCCGGGTTCATCCATGTTGTAGCACCGACATCATTTCTTTTAATAGCATCCATTTAACAGATCCGTTTTCCACGGCTCCTTTCCGTGACCATATTGCCAGGACATTAGTCAGTCCTTCTGAGCCAATAAAAACGCCACCAAGGAGAAAACCCGCATGCAGTTCAGCCCACTGAGGTGACTTGTTTTTACCTACCTAGAGCACAGTGGCAGTCTACCAAACCTGATGCAGTCTGTTCACCTTCAAAAGGCCCTCAGTTAAGCGATCAGCTCTTTGTTGTTCAGTAGACACCTATTCATAGAGCACTGCCCAAGTAACCACAAGATCTTCAGATGGTCCCAAAGGGACCAATGAGGAAAAGTGGCTCTCTACTCATGACTACACTGAATGTCTCCTATCACTCTGTTTAGCATGTTCCCGTAAAAAGCACGTTCTTTTCTTTATGGGGCATCTGGGCACTGCTCAGTCCCATTAGATCATTTCTCTGACATCCTCTGAGACATGATGAATAAAACAAGGTTCAAGACTGTATCATGTCCTTCATTTGCAGAGGCAGTCTTCATTGCCACTCATAGCAGACTGGTCATTGTCTCCCAAATGGGAAAAATACCAGCGATTTTGGTATGCATCGTCCTCAGGCATGCCATCCTACGTGACTCTCTATGTTGTATTTTAGGCAGAGCGGTGAATGTGTCTAGCATAATAAGCCTCGTAGCCCTTAAAAAGTGCAGCCCAGAACTGCAGCAGAAGTTTAGAAGCGAGGCCGTCACAGAGGAGGAGCTGGTGGGGCTCATGAACAAGTTCGTGGAAGACACAAAGAAAGGCGTGCACAGGAAGGAGGGCTGGCCTGATACTGCCTATGGAGTGACAAAAATCGGTGTCACGGTCCTGTCCAGAATCCATGCGAGGAACCTGAGTGAGCAGAGGAGAGGTGACAAGATCCTCCTGAACGCCTGCTGCCCTGGGTGGGTGAGAACAGACATGGCGGGACCTAAAGCCCCTAAAAGCCCAGAAGAGGGAGCAGAGACCCCTGTCTACTTGGCCCTTTTGCCCTCTGATGCTGAGGAGCCCCATGGGGAGTTTGTTATGGAGAAGAAAGTTGAACAATGGGGACCGCTCTATCAGTTACCTTCATGGCTCCCATCTCAAATCCCACCATGATTGACCAAAAAAACTGTTACACTGTCAACAATATCCTTATCAAAAACACAGAAACAAAAGAATCACTATCCTTACTGAGTATTCACATTGAAATGGCTACTAATTCTGTGAAGTTTCTTGTGATTTCTTCTGTGTTATAAGAGGAGAAAAAGTGGAATTGATGAAAATAATGAGTGGACATCACAGAAGAAATAAACAATTCTAACTAAATGTCCATGTGTACAGATGGTTTTATGGCAACCAGCCCCCAAATCACCATTTAGTACACTAAGTACTAACAGCAAACCCTAAGGTAGATCAACAAAAGGGACAGTTGAACTCAGGGCTTGGTAAACATTAGTGAAAGAGGCAAATAGTATTTTTGCCTTTGCAAGGCCAATGGTCTCTGTAGGACCTACTCAAATCTGCTGTTGTAGCTTGAAAGTCACCACAGACGATATATTAACCCATGAATGGGGCTGGTTTTCCCCGGCAAGCATACTTTACCAGCCTCTAGTATGACATGGGCAGCCCATGAAGGCTAGACACCCTCTGTGGTGTGAGTGTGAAATGGGAGCAGGTGCTTAGGATACATCCATAAGACAGGCTGAGACAAGGGGAAAAGTGAATGTGGATTGGTATCAATGGATATGAAAGAATGATGGTCAAATCTCAAGGTGAATGTGGTATTGAAGTAGGGATAAAGGGTCACCCAGTTTGTAACATTAACACGGTTCAGAAAAATATCAACAGAAGGTGAACACAAAACGATAGTAAAATACTCGTCATTGTTGAGGCTAGTTTGGTGAATACATGGGTGTCCACAATACTATTCTTCCCACTGTCCTCTTTGAAAGCTCTCAACACAAACATCTAGAAACTAAAAGGTCCTGGCTCTGCCACCTTACTGGGTGACCTTGAGCAAAATCCTGCATGTTGCTGTATGTCAGTCTCCACAAGTGTACCATGGAGGAAACGACATAGGATTGCTGTGAAGAGTACGTGAACTGGTCAGGTGGACAAGCTAAAAACAATGGCTGCGCAAAGTGTCCTCCATCGTACTCTGAAAAACAAACTGAGGGTTCTAGAGGGGAGGGGGGTGGGAGGATGGGTTGGCCTGGTGATGGGTATTGAGGAGGGCACATTCTGCATGGAGCACTGGGTGTTATGCACAAACAATGAATGAATCATGGAACACTACATCTAAAACTAATGATGCAATGTATGGGGATAATATAAGAATAAAAAAATTTTTTTTAAAAAGTGTCCTCCATCGTGAGTCCCTGTAGTGGGGCCTGACACGTCCATGGCCCTGAGGGGAAGTTCTTACTGCCCTGCACCAAGCCTGGCTCCCCGTGGGCTCAGTGAATGCCCACCACCTCCCTCCCCTCACAGAAGCATCCATGTGGTACAGACTCCTCTCCTCTCATGATTATTTCTCACTCTTCACCAGGGGTTTTCAGGCTAAAAGAAATGAAAACTGAAGGCCCATGCAAGCAAGGGGAAGTTTTTTATTTTGCATGTGAGGTTTCCTTTGGGGTACCTGGTTGGCTCAAATGGTTGAGCATGGGACTCCTCATCTCAGGGTTGTAAGTTTAAACCCCAAGTGGAGTGCAGCAATTACTGAAAAATAAACTCTTTTAAAAAATAAACTAAAAGAAAAAATAAATATCCGGTTTCCTTTAAATTTTCCCTTCAAGAAGGCTGTTAATTTCCTTCCTGTTAGCTTGTATTTCTAAACTGACCCATGAGGAAAATCAATGTCTAGGTCAAGACAATAGACTCTCTATTGCTGGGGCGCCCGGGTGGCCCAGTCGTTAAGCGTCTGCCTTCGGCTCGGGTCATGATCCCGGGGTCCTGGGATCAAGCCCCGCATCGGGCTCCCTGCTCGGCAGGGAGTCTGCTTCTCCCTCTGACCCTCCCCCCTCACATGCTCTATCTCATTCTCCCTGTCTCAAATAAATAAATAAAATCTTAAAAAAATAAAAATAAGAGGCTTGCATGGGAGAACAACATCAACATCCCATAGAACAGGGTAGAGTAGCATTTCTTGAGCACCTACTATGTGTTTCACCTTTGTCTTTTGCTTCAATTTGGGATCCTAATAGAGCTCTTCAGCTTTTTTAAAATTTTATTTTCTGATTGGAAATAGGGAGAAAACACATTTGAGAAAACATCCTTTTAATGTGTGTGGTGCTAGCTTGGGTTTCATAAAAAATGAGTTTACTAATTCCTGCTAATCGTATCATAACCCTTAAGGTATTCACTGAGAGATCAGTTAACAAGAGTCATAGATTTCTGGTATATCTTAACTTTATTTGGTATGCATCTTGGATTTGTGGAATTGGCCCTATTTGGGGAAATCAGTGTGATTCTAGAATAAGGTATTTCACAAAAAGCTAAATGCAAGATACACTTCCTTCTTACCTGGAACAAGTATTGGAGGCATCCAAAGACTAGTAAACTGGCACACAATTAGAAAGTTGTTGGGGAAACTCACTAACCAGGGAGGTGGATGTTAATATTAATAGCTAAGCTATCCAGTGCTTACTAGGTGTGCCTTTTGAGAGATGTTTATGCATTTTAGAGATATTCTTGTATAGTCCTCATAATAATTCTATGAGCTGGTATTATTATAACCCCGTTTCACAGGGGAGGAAACAGGCTTCAAACATAATGGGACTATAAATAAATCAGTGAAATTGAATGCAACTAGTCTGTGTGCTGAAGCCTTATCATCATTCATCCCCCAAGATGAACACACAGGCGAGGTGAAACCCTGTGTGGGACCAGGACAGACCAGGAAGAGTGAGCGAGCGACATCTAGTGATCATCCTAGTGGTGAGAAGCAGTTGGATTTTTTTTGTTTCTTTTCTTTTCTTTCTTTTTTAAGTAAACTCACCACCCAACCGGGGCTTGAACTCATAACCCTGAGATCAAGAGTTGCATGCTCTACCGACTGAACCAGTCAAGTGCCCCTGGGTTTTTTCTTTAAGCAGTATTTAAGATATGTACACAGACAAACAATACAATACTGATGAACCACCACGCAGTTTAAGACTTTTAAATTTTTTCTTCACTTATTTTAAATAAATATATGCACACCGATAAAAAAATCAAAATGAATGAAAGATATATTGTAAAGTCAGCCTCGTATCCCCCAGGTACCCAGTTCTCCCCAGAAGCTAGTACTGTTACCAATTTCTTGTGTGCCCTTCCGGAGATAGTCTGTTTAAATAAATATTTCTTATACACAAAGGTGCATACTACAGGGAAAATAATGCCTTCTCCCCAAGAGGTCCACATCCTAATCCTTAAAACCTGTGAAAAGATTCCTTTACAGGGCCAAAGGGATTTTGCAGGTGTCATTCAGGTTAAAGATTTTGAGATGGGGAGAGTATCCTGGATTATCCAGGTGGGCCTAATGTCATCATATACTAATCCTTAAAACTGAGAATTTTTCTAGGTTGTGGACAGATAACTATGGAAGAATGGTCAGGCATGCCACATTGCTAGCTTTGAAGAGGTAGGAAGCCAAGGGATACAGGCAGCCCCTAGAAGCTGGAAAAGGCAAACAAAACAAAATAAAATAAAAACAATTAGGGGTGCCTGGGTGGCTCAGTCAGTTAAGCATCTGCCTTCGGCTCCGGTCATGATCTCTGAGTCCTGGGATTGATCAACGGATGGAGCCCTGAGTTGGGCTCCCCGCTCAGCAGGGAGATTGCTTCTCCCTCCACCTCTGCTCCCTCTACTCCCACTCAAGTGCTCTCACGTGCACCCTCTCTCAAATAAATAAATAAATAAATTCAATTAGCCAACACATAGTAAGTACATCATTAATTTTTTTTTTAAGATTTTATTTATTCATTTGAGACAGAGAGAATGAGAGAGAGAGAGCACATGAGAGGGAGGAGGGTCAGAGGGAGAAGCAGACTCCCTGCCGAGCAGGGAGCCGGATGCGGGACTCGATCCTGGGACTCCAGGATCATGACCTGAGCCGAAGGCAGTCGCCCAACCAACAGCCACCCAGGTGCCCAAGTACATCATTAATTTTTGATGTAGTGTTCAATGATTGATCAGTTGTGACTAACACCCACTGCTCATCACATCATGTGCCCTCCTTAATGGAATTTAAATTAATAAATAAATAATTATCCCCTAGAACCTCCAGAAGGGAATGCAGCAGCTAACGCCTTAATTTTAGCCCAGTTAAGACCTGTGTCAGACTTCCCACCCAGGGAATTGTAAAATAATAGATTTGTGTTAAGCCACGGCATTTGTGATGCTTTGTTGCAGCAGCAACAAAGATCTAGGTACACACGACATGGTCCCACGCTTTTCTCATTTAGGATACTTTGAAGCCAGTCCCATTTCACTACACTTAGAGCTGCCTTATTCTTTTTAATGGATATTTTACCCATTCTGTCAAGGATGGTCATGAGGCTGTTTGAGTCACATATAAATGAGTTCTAAATAAGACTGTGAGGTCGTAATTCCCAATTTTTCTCATCTGATAGCAACACAGATATGTTGCTGTTTACATAACACGTAGAAGTGAGTTGGAGGCACAGAGGCCATTTACAGAGCCTTGATAGAAAAGATTACAGTATTTTCTTTATATTCTTTTTTAAAAAATATTTTTATTTATTTATTTGAGAGAGAGAATGAGAGAGAGAGAGCATGAGAGGGGGGAGGGTCAGAGGGAGAAGCAGACTCTCTGCCGAGCAGGGAGCCCGATGCGGGACTCGATCCCGGGACTCCAGGATCATGACCTGAGCCGAAGGCAGTTGCTTAACCGACTGAGCCACCCAGGCGTCCCCAGTATTTTCTTTATATTACATAATTACAAGAATATAAAATACTAAGGAAGATATTAAATATTGAACGTGTATAAAACTTCTCAAGTCTTTTCAATTTTTAAGTGAGAAAGTTGATTTTTTTCAATTTATTTATTAAAAATAGGGTTTATTTATTAAAAATAAACAGGCTGTGCGCATGAAAGAATTGATTCCCATTACCCACAGTAGTTAGTGACACTCTGTAGAGTTCCTGCAAACACTGCATTAGTAACTACTGAACTATTTCTTAGGGTCAGGTTCCTGCAAGCCTCTGATAGAACGTTTTCAACCGAAAGGCCATTTGTGTTATACAGATTCATTTGCCAACATCCTTGTAAAACGAGCCAGTTTCATTAACACTGAAAACCTGCTCTTCCACGCACAACACTTTTATTTGGAGACACGCGAGCCAGCCAAGAAGGGCATAACGATTCTCCTGATGCTGGGTATCATGGCTGTAAATTTCTTTGGCTTTCAGCCTCCCAACAATGCTCTCCACTGCAATTTTTAATTGTTTTTTAAAGAATAGTCATCTCATAAATCCACACATTCAGCCC